CTGCAAAGCCACTGTAGTTTTCACTGCCTATTAACGAAGAACGACTTCTCACAGTCTGGGCAGCTATAGAATTCTGCTCCCAGAAATGGGGATTGGTACTGCAGGCAGCAAATACATCACTCAGAGGGGGAGGGCAGCAAGAGCAGAGCTTTAACAAGCACTCTATGAAAGAATAAGCCCAGAATGATCAAGTCCCTACATCATTCATCTGAAATACTGAAGTAAAGAAATGTGGATTTGTTAACGCCTGTTATAAGACCTTCTTTAAACTGGTAAGGCACATTTCACCTTTTCACATTAAAAGAAGACAGATGAGGCTAACCTTGCTTTGAGTTTGCAAGGACAACCTCTAGAAATTGATAACAATCTTTCCTCCAGCAGCCCAAGAGAGATGAAATTAAAGATGCAGTCTTGGTTCTGATAGTTTTTAAATTGAAGCCTGAATAAAAGCTAAACCTGGGACTACAAATCAGGAAAGCAGCATTTCTAGATCAAATGCTAAAAAGAGTTTTTAAAAAAATTGCTGGGAGGTAGTGATTGACAAGTAAATATGAAAGATCAAAAAAGAAAGAGGAATTGAAATATCTGGATAGGTAATTTTACAGTTTCATATATTTTTATCAAGAATCAACGTGGGAGGGTTTGTGGAAAGAGAGGAACACTAATACATTGTTGGTGGAGCAGTGAATTGGTCTGACCATCAATGTGAGATTATTCCAAGAGAGTGGCGAAAATGTTGATACTGATCTACCCAGAGACAAGGAGGTCAATGATAAAAAGAAAGGCCCAATATACACCAAAATATTTATAGCAGCACTTTCTGTCTCAGCAAAGAACTAGAAACAAAGTAGTTATCCATCAACTGGGAATGGCTAAATAAACTATGATATGGCACAGAAATGTAATGAAATATTATTGTGCTTTAAGAAATGATGACTATGATGAATGCAGAGAAGCATGGGAAGGCCTACGTGAGTTGATGAAGAGCGAAGTAAGCAGAAACAATAAAACAAAATACTGAATTACTAAAACAACGTAAATGGAAAGAACAACAACAATAAAACCGTCCAAATCAATGCTGCAAAATAACAACCAAAGAAGGGATGTGAGAAAGCATCTTGCCTGCCCCTGCTTCTTTACAGAGATGGTGGATTAGGGATGTGAACATGGCGCCATGCTTTTCAATGTGTTGGTTATCCTAATGGTTTGTTATCCTAAGGAACAGTTCTATATGGTGGGAGGGGGATACATTAGAAATGGAGCTGATGCAAAAACAAATATTATCAATAAAATTTTTATTTTAAAAAATTATCTAAGATCCGTGCATTGCTGAGAAGAGGCAAGTCTATCAATGTTAGTCATCACACAATGTGGCTGTTACTGTATACAACGTTCTCCTGGTTCTGCTCACTTCACTCAGCATTCATCCAGATGACTAATGTTGAAGTCTTAGCTCTTCTCAGCAATGCAAGGATCTAAGACATCTCCAAAGGTCTCATGATGGAAAATGCTATCCACATCCAGAGAAAGAACTATGGAGTTTGAATGCAGATCAAAGCATACTATTTGCTCTTTTTTTTCCCTTCTATTTTGTTTTATTTCCTCTTTCTTGTGGTTCCTCCTATTGGTTTTAATTCTTCCTTACAACATGACTAATGTGAAAATATGTTTAATAGGAATGTATATGTCGAGCCTATGTCAAATTGCATGCCCTCTTCGGGAGGGAGGCGGAGAAGGAAGGGGAGAAAAATTTAAAACTCAAAAGCTTATGGAGGTGATTACTGAAAACTAAAAATAAATTAATAAAAAAAATTATCTAGTCCATATTCCATTTACAAATTGATACTCTTCTTTAGTTTCATTAATGTCCCCCTAAAACCAAAATTATTAAAAATCATTAACCAACCTAAAAAATATGAAAAACTGTTTTCAAGATCATAGATGCTGAGCTAAATTATCCCAGTTAGGTACCTTTGGAAATGATATTAATTACTCAGCCTTCTAAGCAACCAAATATAGATATTATGCTAGATAGCACCTTACAGCTTTGTAAAAATCATTCACCTCTTCCAAATCTTCCAGAGGACAAAGGAAGAGATATGAGGGGGCTGTCACATTTCTTGGGCCTCCCCTCAAGCCCAAGCAGGAGTGCAAAGGTAGCGTTGGCTACCTGGAAGACGGGCAGTCCCTGAACCACAGGGCAATGGAAAATTGTATTTTCCCACAAGAGCAATATTAAAATTTAGGGTTGTTGGAGTTCCTGACCAATAACTATACATCATACAGACCACAGCTATGATCAACAATATGACAGAAAAGCAGATACAACAAACAGAAACCTCTATAATTACTTAAGCAAGTAAAATTACACTTGAATTCCTATAAAATTTATTCTATCTATCGGTTATACATGGAATCCCAGTGTATTATAAAATATACAGATAGAAAAAAGGCAACTCTATTGCCCATAAATTTGACTTAATCCTGATATGCTACCTACGTGATAGATTAAACACTTGATAATTTTTTAAAAATTAAACAATTTTAAAAGAATATTTTCATTTATTTTCTTACATAGAGATAATTTTGTCTGTTTTGCTATTGGTTACTTTCAGTGTAACCATCAGGGAAAGGGATATGAAACTGCAAAATCTGAATAAATTTAAGAAGGAATCAGACTGTGTTGTTTAGTTTCAACTACTTTTTTAAAAAAACTTTTTAAAAAATGTGTTAGCCATGCTCCCCCACCTCCCTCCCATTTTCATTCCTTATTTAAAGGATGGCAATCTACTATGGGATTTGGTAATATAATAACAAAACATATCAACAAAATTTTAAATTAAAAAATAAAAGAGTCTAAGGAAAAAGAGAGAATTAGAGAAAGAAAACTAAACAAAGCCAAACTATACTTTTAAATTAAACGATAATTTTAAACTTAATGTTTTCAAGGGCTTTGGGGGGTTGATGTAGACGGCCTAGCTCTAGGGAAGTATGGGGAGGGAAGCAGTGGGATTCTGTACAAAGGAAGTTAGGAACTATATTTTATTTTGATATAACAATGGCATTCAAAATGACTCTCTTAGGCTTGTAGTGTGGCTCGAAGTTGGGCACATTCTTTAAAACAAAAACCAAAAAAAACAGTTCTTGTAGTCATCTAGATAGGTGAAGGTCTCACTAAGGATGTCAAAGACTCAACCTGGCCCAGAGGTCCAAGAACATCATCTAGCCAGCTGTACTAAAACCACTGGGTTTTTTGCTTGTTTGTTTTTGTTGGGTTTTTTTTTAGTATTCTTCCACATATGTATGTTTACATATACACAGATGTGTATATACCTTTCTGCATGTACATATGTATACATATTATTACATACATGTATATATACACACACATGCACTGAGAGTTTATTAAGCTCTACTAACTTACGACTGTATTAATAACACTTCTGGGCCACCCTATAGCTGGGTAGGTCATTTAATGTCACTCTGAACCTCAGGTTCTTACAATGAGATAAGGTATATAAAGCATTTCGCAAGTTTTAACATGCTACATAAATTCCGGTTGTTAGCTAAGTAATTCTTGAGTGGAAAAATCAAAACCAACCCAAGGGACTGACACGGGCTTCCAGGAGGAAGAGGCATTTGAGTTGGTCTTTGAGTGATGGGGAGGAGTACAACTCTTGAAGACAGGGAGAGAAGGAATTTCAGGCATGGGGAATACTCAGAGTAAAAACAAGAAGGTATATCCTTAGTACCAGGCACACAGTAGGCATTTATTAAATGCTTGTTGTTTTGACTTGACTTCTTGACTAGGACAAAAATACTTCATTAGTCCCTCTCTAAGAGGAGATCCCTATAATAGAGATATATTGCTAACCTAATATTTATAATTTGTGGTATAACTAAACTATAAGATCTGATTAAAATTGAACAGAGTTGCACAAGTGTTATGCTTTTTTTTAATGGCTGATTATTTTTGAAGAGAAGAGTTAGTTTTAAAAAAATCACTTCTTATGAGAACTAGAGAAAAAACTAGGGTTATTAACAAAGCTATCAAGAGAAAGGTAAAAAGGGACAAATCCTGATTTGGGGGCTACTGGTAAATGTGAATGTAATATTTAATCAACGTAAATAATGTAATATGTCTGTAACAAAATAAAATGTAAAAATCTGCACCTGACTTGTAAATAGTAGCTGCCTTCTATTAAAATGGACCTAAGAACTTATCGATATGGCTATTCCCTCCAAAGATGCAGATCCCAACCTAGCTGTGCCTGTCTTTCCTATGTATCTCTTGTCCATATCCTCCCACGAAGCCACAGCGGTCCAGCCAAAGTGCTAGAGGCATCCCTCAGTTCTTCTCCTGACATCATGAAATACTATGGTGTAGTAAGAAATGATGAAAGAGATGGATTCACAGAAGCCTTGGAAGACTTGTATAAACTGATGCAGAGTGAAGCAAGCAGAACCAGGAGAACCATTTATACAATAACAACAAGAGTGTAAAAACAAGCAACTTTGGAAACTGTAAGAACTCGAGAACAATGCAATGACCAACCATGATTCCAGAAGACTACTGATGAAGCATGCTTACCAACCTCTAGAGAGAGGAGTGATTCATTCAAGATGCAGAATGAAACATATGTTTCTAGACATGATCAATGTGGGAATTTGTTTTGCTCAACTATGCATATTTTTGTTGCAAGGGTTTTGTTTTTTCCTTTTCCTCTTTTTTTTTTCCCCTTTTAAATCAAAAGAGGCCAGGTGAGAGGGGGAAAAGAAAGAATTTTTAAAAGCTCTATCCAAGTGCTGGGATGACCAGAAACCTTCACTTGATTCTTCTACTTTTTCAGGGAGTTTTCAGCTAAGCTGACTTAGGACCACAGTAAAATGCTAGTAACTACCATCAGTACTAAATACCTCAAGAAAATAAGATAAACAAATTCATTCCACGTTTCAGGTTATTGCTATCACCTGGAAAACGAAACTGACTTAGAATATACCTGGCTTGGAAGACTTCATCTGCTGCTTGATTTTCATCGCTTCTTCTGCTGATAAATCTCCTTTTTTCAGCACCACAACTTGTGGCTGCTCATCTTCATTGTCGCTCCTGTCATCATCTCCTTCTGGGATTTCAGGCTGAATTTTCTAGAAGAAAATCACACAAGGCAAATCACTAACCTCAACCAACTCCATATCTCTGAAATTGCAAAATGAAGGGAAAATAGAACCTTACTAAGTAAATAAAATAACCTTATAAATATGTCCTTACTAAGTAAATAAGTGTTCACGATGCAACTTTGGTTTTCTTGTCTCTCCCACTGAACTGCTGGCTCCTTGGGCCCGCTTAGCACCGTCTGGCACATAGTAGGCATTTAATAAATGCACAATGTCCAACTATAGCCAAACTGTGGCCAAGTTCATGAAGAGCCTCTACAAACCTGACTAGCCTAGCCTGTTACCTCACCTATACTCAAAGTCTTTCCAGTTTGATGGTAATAACAACAGTCACAAAACTAGCATTTATATAGTCCTCTAAGTTTACAAAGCACTTTACAGATGTTATCTCATTTAATCCTCACAACAACCCTGAGAGATAGATGCTGTGATTATCCCCATTTTATAAATGAGAAGACTGAGGCTGAAGGAGAGAAGTGACTTAGCTGGGGGCCACATCTAGACTCAGGTCATCCTGACCGTAAGCCTAGCACTCCAGTGACCGTGTCACTAAGTGACAGCTTTTTCTCCCCTGTACGGCCAGAGAACCCAGGACCACCCCCATGCTACAACAAGGCATCACAGCAGGACTTCGGTAGACGTGGTATATAACAGACCTACTATATAACATTTACCATTCGGTGTTGTATGGATGTTTGTCTTTATTTTCTCCTATTATTTGTGGTAGACACTTGAAGTCAGAAGCCGTGGTTACACGCCTCAATTGGCCACATACTAGCAAGGTAACCTTGGGCAAATCATTAACCTCAGTTTCATCACCTGTAAAATGAGACAGTGCGACTAGACGGTCTTTAAGGACCCTTCTGGCTCTTACACTATGGGACTGTCATGTGTCTGTCTGCCTTCTCGAGCACTGTGTGAGTCTCGGTTGGATGACTATGAAAGGTGCCTGATTCAGTGGCACAGGTAAATTAGGTACAGAACAAATGCTCTGAAGGGATAAAATGAAAAACGAAAATAAAATCCTTAGGGATATTGATGAGACTGAGATCTGGATGTTCTGGTTTTCCTTTAATCAATCCTTTCGTTCAAATGACTAACTGAAAAACAAAAGGAAAAGTCTCTAAACAAGTACAGAAGCAGTCATTGGGAATGAGCTAAGCTCTTCTGAATTAGTTTCCAAAAAGGTACATTGAGAACCTTAATTACAGAATGATTTGTCTTCATGCTGTATCTCTCCTCCATGTTCACAAATCACAGGAAAGCACAGTTAACAGGGTCAATTATGCTACTAAGATGAATGAGAATTCAGTCTTACTCACTGCCTGAGGAGTACAAAAGAACACAGTGTACTTCTCCAAAAGCAAGTCTCTTCATTCCCCAGGTCAAATTTGTAAACAAGGATTGATCTGGAATTAGAACCAATCACAATGATTACCAGGGACATGAAATGTCTTTTACTACTGTTCTTGGAAGAGTAAGCTAGAATGTGGCAGGTAGCTGGGAATGAATTTGAAAGCACATTTTTGCTGCATGCTTACTATGTGCTAAGCACTGAGGACACAGATGGAAAAAGCTTTCTGCCCTCAAGGAACTCATACTCTAATTGAGTTGGGCAATTTACAAAGCAAAGTTGAGCTGCTGGGCAGATGGTAAGGCCAGGCAGACCTCAGGAGCCAGAAGCAGGGCAGATGGTGGTAAGGTTAGCTGGTACCCCATCTCCTCAGAAGGATTAGTCAATGACATCCATCTCATCAAAGCCTTATGAACAGTCATGCAGCCCGGTGGAAGGGGGAGGTACCACCACCATCCTGAGGTCCTGGATAAGTTCTGAGACTATGGGTGTCACACTTGGGTTGGAGGCCAAATTGTCAAATGGACAAAGTTGATTTTAATTAATGTCCTATATTCCTTGTAATTCCTTCTTTTCACTTCTCTACCCTTTTCCCCCAGTGTTCTCTCCCCCACATACCCTGGATCCTCCAGATTTCCTCCAAAGAACCTCTGTTTCCAGCCCACCATCCAGTATTTCTCTCCCTAACTGCAGTACCAAGCTCTAAAATGGGCCCTCACCCTCTCCTTCTGTGCTTTCTCCAAACGAAATTCTCCCTTAAAAGAAGCAATCTTGGGGCAGTTAGGTGGGGCAGTTAGGTGGCGCAGTGGATAGAGCACTGGCCCTGGAGTCAGGAGGACCTGACTTCTAATTTGGTCTCAGACCTGACACTTACTAGCTGTGTGACCCTGGGCAAGTAACTTAACCCCAATTGCCTCGTCAAAAAAAAAAAAAGAAAAAAAAAAAAGTAATCTGCTTTAAAATGTTCACACCAAGGTATGACAGACTAATGTTTTAAGTTCCAGAGGTTGAATATAAATGGGAAGTTTATTAAAACAAAAGAATCTCAAACTAGTAGAATGTCTTGAGATTTTTTGAGGACAAAGGCTGTTTCCACTTGCCTACATCATGGTCATGCCCACTGCAAAAATGTGATCCTTTCCCATTTCAATATCTGAAAGCCAGGTAGTGTTAGAGAACAGTCATGGTTTCAAAATCTGAATACAGGCATACCCTGCCTAACATTCCACAAAAGCAAGTTGTCAGGAGAAGGGTTGTCAAAGGGAGTGGAATTTTGCAGATTCAAGGTTTTAGTTCTGTACTTTATTAAGGCCATTACTGTGAAATGAGGTGGGAGTGGAAGGAAGGGTGCAGAGAGATATCTTACAAAGACTCCTCTACCTTACCAACATAAAACAGTAATTTTTAAAAGGCAGCCCCCATAATGGCTATTAAACTCACTCCTATCTACTAATAATTTCTTTCAGTACATGCAACAAAAACTATTTCCAAAGCAATATTCTTATTTACTAAGAAAGGAAAGGCCATTACTAAACTGCTTCCTTAGTTTACAAGGCCAGGGATCCTCTCTCACCAAGCTGTGTTAACTCAGAAGCCTGAAATAATAGGGTGTTCTCTCTTTTATATCATTTATACTACCGGGCTTCAAGACCCTAAAAAAAGTCTTTTTTATTGAGTTAATAGAGTTCTACAACATAAACACTGTGCTTTTTTTAGTGTTCATTTAATAAAAATCATTTTAATGTTATCAGTTCTATCAATGTACACCTGGAAGAATACATTTTGTACTCCATCTGCTGGCTGGCTGGCCTTATGTTCTATATTACTAGCAAATGTCTCAGTTACAGTATTGAATTTTTAATTAAAAACTGGACAAAAAATATCTAAGTGTCTCAGGGATATTCCCCAGAGTTTCAGAGGCTTTAATTAAATTGTAAAAAAAAATTTATGTAAACAAAAATTCTGGGTGCCAGGCAGCACTATACGTCATGTGGGAAGGAAAGAATAAATACACATTAGATGGTTTATGCAACAAAACTTTAAAACAATACTTTTAAATCTCAACATTTATGTGGCTTTCTTCTACTGTTATTAGATGTTTATTACTTCTATTAAGCTGGATGAATTTTCAGGGAAGTAAGGAGTAGAAATTTATAAATTGATTCTAATTTCTAACAATCTATATTAAACTCAAGCTAAGTTGAAAGGTATAAAAATGAATTAACTCTAAGAGTGCTTGGGCTATTATAAAAAAGAAGAAGAAGAATTTTCATTTAAATGGAATTATAGCTAGGGAACATCTGTCCCCCAGGGTGGCTAAGTGGGTGGCTTACAGGGAACCATATGAAGAGACGATGCTGATCTCAGATGTTTTATGTCAGTCTGTAGTGGAGTATTTGGGAAGATAGTTCTTTGATACTAATGCCACGGTTGAGTATTAGATAGATCCTCACGTGAGCCAATTAGGTTTGAGATGTCATCTGGAGGCAGATTCCTTTCAATCTTAGAAGCTGGGCCTCTGGCCACTAAGAAATTTGGGAATGGTGTGAATGGATGAATGCAAAAGCACTACTGGGAAAAGAACTCAAAATGACGCTATACTCATGGTAGGACAGTAGTCTCATGTTTGTAAGCTAAAAGGGTCCTTAGCCTTAGATGGAATGCTTGCTGGACTATAGACGCCTTTGAAAAACGGTCTCCTAATGGTGGGTATTCTTATTTCAATTATTATGGCTATGTAGCTTTGGTTTCCAACATAGAATCGTCCAGAAAGATTTCCTAGAAGGCAGCCAGAAAAAGAGACAGTCTATTTGCATCATGTGCATCTTTCCATTCCCCTTTGGGTCACTTACAAATTCGATTCTTTGGAGACTGGGGTTTCAAGATTCCTAGTCACACAGCATCACTAGGAGAACACTGACATTACTGCCTTAAACCCTATGTTCATTTCGGCCTCTACATCTTTGCTTGTATCATGCCCTTGACTAGAGGCGCCTTTCCCCTCTTCCCCACAGCCGAAATTCTCACCTCTTTCAAGGCCCCACCTCTAATCCTGCTTCCTCCATGGAATTGTCCTTGACTGTGCCAATCCTAGTCAGTACCTAGCCCCTATCAAGAATGTAATTCTTAGACTTGTATGGACTGATGCTGAGTGAAGTGAGCAGAACCAGGAGAACGTTGTACACAGTAACAACCACGTTGTGTGATGACTAACTTTGATAGCCTTAGCTCTTCTCAGCAATGCAAGGATCTAAGACATCTCCAAAGGTCTCATGATGGAAATGCTATCCACATCCAGAGAAAGAACTATGGAGTTTGGATGCAAATCAAAGCATACTATTTGCTCTTTTTCCCCTTCTGTTTTGTTTTGTTTCTTCTTTCTTGTGGTTCCTCCTATTGGTTCTAATTCTTCTTTACAACATGACTAATGTGAAAATATGTTTAATAGGGATGTATGTGTAGAGCCTACATCAGCTTGCTTGCCGTCTTGGAGAGGGAGGCGGAGAAGGAGGGGGAGAAAAATTTAAAACTCAAAAGCTTATGGAAGTGATTGTTGAAAATTAAAAATAAATTAATTTAAAAAATAAAAATAAATAAATTTTTAAAAATAACCAGAAAAAAAAAGAATGTAGTTCTTAATTGTATTGTCTCCTAAAGTTAGATGAAACTTAGTGTGGCTCGAGGGAAAGAGGACCGGAATGGAGTCAGGAAGACCCTGGTTAAAATCCTGTCTCTTACATACGGGGGCTGTGTGACCATGGGCAAGTCACTTGAGTTTTCAGGACTAAGACTCTTAAGTTACAGGTGAGCTGCTGAGCTGTATCAATAGCATTTCCTCACCAGTAACTCTCTCTGTCCAAACAATGGACAGGTCCAAAACAAATTAAAATACAGGATAATGCTTTCACATAGGTTACTGTCACTCTGACTAGCCTGTAAGCTTTGAGAAGTCGGGAAGCCTGTTTTATACTTCAGTATGCCCACACCTCTTAGCAGCTGAGGGCAGATACAGGCGGTATTCAATGAATACTTCAAGAGCTGGGGATTTTCAAGGGGTGAGCCCTCTGAAATGAAAGCAAAGCATAAGGCCACGGTGGCATCCTGCAGAACTGAGTACCAGGATGAGGAAAGCTGAGTCCCTGGGTGCTGTGGACCACCACAGAAAGCACGGCAGGGCCAGCTTCACCAATGCAACCCCATCTCTGACTGAGGCTGTAGAAAGCAGATGAATGCTGGACTTAGCTGGGACACAGTGCTGTGAGATCATGGACAAGTCACTTAGGCTGAGTCATTTTTTTCTTCCCTGTAAAATGGAGATATTGGAGTACATGAGCTCTTTTTCTTTCTTAGCAGCTAGTGTTCATTAGTGACCATGTCCTCAAAATTCTACCACCTGGCAGCCAACCTGAGAGTGACAAGCCTCTCAATATTTATCTAAACTGGCCATCAGTCAACGGCATGGCCAGGCCTGCACCTGAAACCTTCCCAGGTTAGGTGTCGTCAGTAAGTTCTAGCCTTCAAGCTCCAAAACCCCATCCGTGCCTTAAAGGATTAGAGAAGTTGCTTTCATGAAGGCTCAGGCAATACCTAATTCTTTATCATTTTCTCCTCATACTGAATGTCAGGATCTTGTGTTAATAAAGGGTTATGTGAAATTTATGCTTTTTGGTGTGAACTGGATTGGTCAAAACCCGGTCGCCTCAAAGATTGAACCCCCCAAAGCCCATCACCTGATTTCATTTCCCCATGGCTTCACTGTTAGAGGACCTTAGATTTAGAGCCCAAAACACTCTTAAAAGGATATCTAGTCCAACCTTGTCCTTGGTTCCAATCTCTCAACTTCCTAAATTTTTCTGAAAAAGTTAATTTGAGAGTAATTTTTTTTTTAATTTTTATTTTTGCTGCTGGCCAGGTCTACAAGCAAAACAAACTAGCTACAGCTCTGACCCCCCTGCATCAAATACAAGTTCTGTATTTGACACAAACCAGCTGCATGACCATGGGCAGGTCAATTAGCTTCTCAGATCCTCCAGAAAAACACTTTAAGCTACACAGGCCAATAAATCCAACCTCTGACCCTTACTAGATGTGTGACTCTGGGTAAGTCACTCCACCTTTGGCAGTTGGCTTCAGTTTCCTTATCTGTGGAATGGGAACAATAGCAGCACCTGACCCGTCCAGGGTGGTGGTGAGGTTTAAATGAGACAATAATTGTAAAGCGTTTTGCAAACCTAAAAGTGCCATATGAAGGTGAGCTATTTCATTACTGTGACTATTATTAAGAGGTGAGGGACCCGCCCTACTCCAACCCAGGGACATGACTGATTAATAATAACAGCAACAATGGCTAAAGTTCGTGTAACATTTTTAAAATTGCAAAATTATTTGCAAACATTATCTCTTCTGATCCTACCCACCCTGGGCGAAGGGGGTTGCGGTTTTATCCCTGTTTTATAGATGAGGAAACTGAGGCAGACACAGTGCCAGGGGCAGGATTTGAACTCGACTCTTGCCCGTGGTTCACGCTCCAAGCCTCCCCCTCCACCCGCTGCCCCCGCTCCGGGACAGGGCGCCCCCATCGCCGGGGAATCGAGCTGCGCCGTAGCGCCCGAGGCCTGGCCTGACCCAGCCGGCGGCCCGTAGAACGCGCAGTAACCGGAAGTGAAGGGGCCCGGGAGGGGTTTCCTTAGCAATTCGAGGGGCGGGACAAGTTCCTCCTCACCTTGGTTTCCACGGTGGGCCCCTCCTTATAGCCGACCTTCTGCTTGAAGCGGGCCAGGAACGCGGGCTCCGGCGGACGCACGTACGACACCTGATTCCGCTTGCTCATGGTTTCTCTGAGAAGAAACGGCCGGGGATGGGAGAAAGGCAAAGGGGCCTCGGATCTTACCCGTCTCCCGGAAGCGGGAGTACGTCTCCTCCCACCCCGGCCTCCGTAGCCGGGGGCGGTCTAAGAACTCCTAACCCGTGACGTCATCTCCCCACCACGTGATAGGGGCCCCCGCCGTCTTTCCGCTGACTTCCGCCCTTTCCATGGCGGCTCCCGTGGCGGCTTCCAGGGTCGTGCTCGCTCCGCCCCTTTCCGGCCGCCTAGCGCCAAATTCAAACACACCGCCATTTTGCACGCACTCGGGGTTGCCGTTCTCGGGGCCCGGGTGGGGGGTTACGTTTTGGGAGCGGGAACGTCATGGCACCTGGTGTCAAAGGTGAGTCAGTGAGTCAGTGTGTGTGTATGTGTGTATGTTTGGGGGGAGGGGTCCTACAATCGTCGCTGCTGGGGGGCCCGACCCCGCCTGGGCACCTAGGCCCGCCGGAACGGTCTGGATCAGAAGCCCCCGGGGGCTGGCGGGGAGGCGTGGGGGAGGGGCTGGGCCTTCCCGGGCCATCCCACCGAGGCCGGGCCCGTTAATTACATTGTAATTAACGCAATGACATCGTATAATCTATAGTGCATAACGTGTGATGACGTAAGGCAGATGTGCAGAGCAGCAGAGTGATGCAGTAGATGGAGGGGGAATCAGGAGGGACCTGCGTTCTGATCGGTCACTGCACCCTGTTGGCCTCAGTTTCCTCATCTGTAAAATGAGCTGGAGAAGGACATGGTGAACCACTCCAGCATCTCTGCCGAGAAAACCCCAAATGGGGTTACAGAGAGCCAGACACGACTGGACACCAGTCAAATGAAAGATATAGATATAGCCCTATCTGTATATATACATGTGTAATATACTTACAGTGCTTTGCAAATCTTAAACTACTACATAAAATTTAACTATTATCATCATTACCAGTAATCTTTCTTTGCTTTCATTTTCTCACCTGTGAAATAGGTGGGTTGAACCTTGATGGTCTGCCAGTGCCCCTTCCAGCCTTTAATTTGTGATGTTGGGTCCTGGGTGTGAATCCTGGCTCTGCTGCCAAACCACTTTGTGACCTCAAGGAAGTCTTTTTTATTCATCTCAAGGCCTCTGTTTTCCTCATTTGAAAAATGACAGATTCTGGCCAAAAAAAAAAATGACAGAATTGAAGCTGCTAGGTTGCTTAGAACTCTAAATTTGTGATCTTAAAAGGGTTCTGACACTTAGTCTTTAACTTATTTAGGTTGGAAGAACTGTTTTTCTCTTTTAGGAATGAGGAAACTGAGGCAAAGTAGAATTTTAAAATGTTATTAAATTTAATATGTACTTTATTCATTCAGTAAATTACCTGTTCTAGGTTCACAGGTACGTAATTCAATTGAACACGTGTACATTGAGCCCTGATAAAAGGCACTGCTTGCAGTGCTAGAAACACAAAGAAAAATAGGAATTGGACCCATCTTCTGTGGGAAGATCGAAGGAGTCAGATGTCTTGACTCACCGGTTCGCTGCCTTTTCTACTAGACTAGTGGTTTTCAAATTTTTTAGTCTCAGAACTCATTTATACTCCTTAAAATTATTAAAAACCTCCAAGAGCTTTTGCTTATGTGAATCATATCTATCAATATTTACCATTTAGAAATTAAGGTTGATATAAATGTTTTAAATATCAATTCATTTAAAATGACAATAAGGCCATTACATTAACATAAATAATGTGTTTTATGAAAATGTGTTTTCCAAAGCAAAAGTTTAATGAGAGGAGTGGCATTGTTTTACATATTTTTGCAAATCTAACATCTGGCTACTATGTGCCCGAGGCAGCATTTGAACCTACTTTTTCCTGCCTCTATGCACTTGGCCACACTGTCTCTATAATGCTCATGTAGATCAATTAAAGGTGGTCACAGAGGTTTGTCAGACTCACCACTGCAGTTATAGGAGACTGTTCGTTTATTCTGTATTACAAAGATTATGACTTCACAGGTATGGGTACTGAATACACCAAGAAATGTGTAAGTGATTTTCTCTCCTCTACTTTTTCTTTTTTCTTATGTAAAAAGACTGGCTTTTTTTCTAGATTTGAGCAATCAGTCATAGCCATCCTGTGCTGCTTTTTGTAACTTAGAAAACCCAGAAAGTACAACTTAGCTGTCAAAAACTGTTTGTTTGTTTTTTTTAATCTATGCTTGAGTATACAGCTATCTCTATACTTAACGGCTTGATTACTAGAAGTATGGCTGTGAGATAACTGAGGTTTTGTTATATGGCTCTTTCTGCTTTCAGCAATCACTTTTCATTGAGAATATATCACTCCCTTAATTGAAAAGTAAAGCTCATTTTTACTTTCACCATATCACTTTCACTATTTCATCTGTTAACTGTTGGGGAGGTAAGAGTAAAAAAGAATCTATCATCCTACAGTGCCTGTTTACTGATATTTTCTTGTCTTGTTTTCTAGACAGTCTACGTGCCGTAACACCATCACAATCTAACCAAGTAAGGTAAGAAAAACTTCTTTGATGGTGTGGAAATGTGTTCTTGAGCCTGTAGTCTCAAAAGGCAGCAAGGACTGGAGAGGAAGTGGGGCCTTAATGAAAGGAGTAGGCTTTAAGTCTAGAGACATTGATCAGTATCCTGGGACCCTCCTTTTCTTCATTATAAAAGAGAGTAATGATTCTTATATTACTTATAAATAAGTATACTTATACACAGGGTTCTTATGAGGGAAGCATTTTGGAAACTCTGAAGGGCCGTATGAATATGGAATAGGGAACTTTTGTTCCTGTTCCTTGCTCTTTTTGCCTTGATTAACTGGAACCTTGGGCAAATCTTTGTGAACAGTAATGTGATATTTCTTGTCCTGAGGTGATGCCAGAGAGAGATTTGAGAAACACTTGGAGCTTCTTGAAATGAATACCCTGTGACTTACAGTTAAGGGGGGGTGGGAGGGTGGGGACAGAGAATGGCTAAGATAGATTGGTGTTGAGGTTGATTTGCCAAATGGAGAAATTTCAGGTACATTCGAGTTTATATTTTTAAGTATCTTTTAACTAGAAGCTCATCTTTAGGAGACTTTGTCTTTAAATATTGGTTTTTCCCTAGTAATGAAGGTGATGTCATCAAAGTTTTTATAAGAGTCCGTCCCCCTACGGAGGGGCCCATACTAAACAATGGAGAACATCCTGGCATGTGCTTATCAGTGCTCACCTCCAATACCCTCCGTCTGCATTCCAAGCCCGAGCCTAAGATCTTCACATTTGATCATGTGGCAGATATGGATGCCACTCAAGTGAGTATGATTTTTGATCTGAAAATCACGTGCATGAAGATTCAGTAGTTCCGTTCCATATTTTATAGTTTTTCGAGGTATTGGTTTTTAGTAATTACCTTTTGCTCACTGTTACCATAAGTAATATGAAGTAGAAAAGATTTTTTTTTTAATTTACAAGTAATGCAGAGGACTAGTTTTGATAAGTAGTTTGATTCTCTTCTTTCATCAGAACCTTTGCTTGAAACTGCCTAGTCTGCTTTACTTTTCTGCCTTATGAGATTGTCATCCTTCCTTGCCAGAAGTCAGTAACGGGGAAGAAGAACAGAAAAAGGTCTTAATGGCCAATATGCTGCTTGGGGAAAAATCCAGTCTGGCTTAATGAAAAGCCTGATTTATAGGCTGTTTTAAAATAAATGCTGTTTTATTCCTTATAACATGCATGTGATGAATTGTAAGTATTAACTGAATTGGAGTAATAGTAACTAATATTTTGTGTTTAGAATTTGCAAAGTACTTAACTATTTGAGGCTTACAACAACCCTATGAGGTGGCCACTACGGGTGTTACATCCTGATTTTACGGGTCACAGGGAGGTTAAATGACTTGTCAGTGGTCACACAGCTGTTTTGTCAGAGAAGGGGTTTGAACCCAGGTCTTCTCAACGCAAGCATTCTGTGTACCACATCATTATGTAACTTAATGAGTAAATTATAATTCATAGTTGACTTAGATAAACATGTACTATATGAGAATTAATTATATTAATATAACACATGATAATTTCTGAACCCAGACATTGAGGGCATCCTTCATATTTTGAGCCCTGGATCTATGAATGTTTTAAACAAGAATTTTCTAGCCCAGGAGGAGATCTGAAAAGTAAGAAAGTTTTCTGGTCATTGGTTCAGAATCACAAACCTACAATATTGCAAATTGCAAATTTGAAAGGGATCAGAATTAACATTTTATAGTAATTTGTAAAATAGTCAGTCCCTGAATAATTGCGTTGTTTATAAATGACAATAGACAGCATTTGATAAGGGGTCCCCTGAACTTGTCTTTTTGAGAAACACTGGACCCAGAGCTTGCAGGAGGCCCTGAATGTGTCATGGATGAAGCCCCCACCCCCAGCTGACATAATTTGTTGTTTCGCTCCAAGCTGGACTCCTTATGTGTCCTTGGGAGGCAAGACAGGCACCAGCCAGTCTGTGCCAGGCTGGGATCCTTTGCAGATAAGCAGACCCTTCATGGTGTAGCAGTTCCAGGGGGTGGCAGGGGGAATGCAGCTTTTTCAATCACCTTGCTTCTTCCCAGGGGGAGTGGTCTTGTCTGTTTTTTTCCCACCTTTACTGCATTGTTTCCCCTCCTATGTCATGCCCCTTCCTGATATCCCCTCCCCCCTTTTTCCTGCTTTTATAAAAATGTGAACTTCTTTCTTTTTCTTTTTTTTTTTTTTTTTTGTTGGGCAGTGGGGGTTAAGTGACTTGCCCAGGGTTACACAGCTAGTAAGTGTTATGTGTTTGAGGCTGGATTTGAACTCAGGTCCTCCTGAATTCAGGGCTGGTGCTCTATCCACTGTGCCACCTAGCTGGCCCCAAAAATGTAAACTTCTGTGAGACCTGTGAACTCTTTGCTGTGGTTTTGATGTATGTATCCATGTTTGTTCCTCCTGTAACAAATCTAGTTCACATAAGTTTCATGAAGGTGTGATTTCCTTTTGCAGTGACTTCTGAGTAATATCTCTTTATGAATTGAATTTTATGTGATTAGGTAGCTCAATATAAATTGTTATGGGGATCTAAAACCAAAATAATGTATTTAAGAATCATAGAACCTGGGACAGCTAAGTGACGCAGTAAATAGAGCTCTGGCCTTGGAGTCAGGAGAACCTGAGTTCAAATGCGGCCTCAGACACTTGACACTTAACTAGCTGTGTGACCCTGGGCAAGTCACTTAACCCCAATTGCCTCTCCAAAAAGCAAAAAAAAAAAATCATAGAACCTGAGTTGGAAGGGATCTCATGGTCACCAAATTAAATTCTTCAGACTTCTAGTAACTTTAAATGTTGCTATTCAAACCACTGCATAAGACAGTTACTTGGATGGGCATGAGTCTCTTATAAAGGCTATTAGTAATAAAACAGGAGTTTTTAACCTGAAGCCTGTGAACTTTTAAAAAAATGTATTTTGATAGCTGTACTTCAATATAGTTTCTTCATAATCCTGTGTATTTTGTTTTATGCATTTAAAAACATTCTGAGAAGGGGTCCATAGTCTTAACCAGACTCCCAAAGAAGTTCATGACACAAAAAAGGTGTCAAGTACACTCTTGTACTGAAAGCATTTCACTGAGTGCACAGCGCTAGAAGAGGCATAGTCGCCTTGTAAAACTGACCATGAAGCTGCAGGATTTTTTTTTTTTAATGTTTTTGGAATTTTGATGTTGAGGCATTCTTATTTGTAAACAAACTTTTCCTATAGACTGCATTTCTCAGCAATGTTCCAACTCCATAGAAACACCCTCTTCTATAAATTAATTTAATTCATGGGAACAGACTCATTCAAATTCTTTATTAATATACTGATTAATATTAATATAGTACAGAATGATCTGAGTTGTTAACAGCATTTTTCCTCAAACTTCACATGGGTTTGCTTTGTAAATGCCCTTATATTTTGTGCATTATAATTTTGTGAATTTCTGTTTCATCCTCCTACTTAAATTATAATTCAATTCAACCAGCATAAAATAGTTTAGGATGTTTTTTAATCATAAAATTTTAACAACACATTTTGGTACTTAATTCACAGGAATCGGTATTCTCAAGTGTGGCCAAAGGCATTGTTGAATCCTGCATGAATGGTTACAATGGTACCATCTTTGCATAGTAAGTTTAATTTAGTTTATGTCAGATATAAAAAAAAGTTACTAGAAATATTAATGAAATTGTCGGATTTTTTTTAGTATTTTGAGAATTATGGGCTCATGCAATCCTAGTGTCAGAAATGACAAGTAGTTTATGGGATTAGCATTAACAAAGTGTGACTTTGTAAGTAAATGTTAGCACAGCTGTAAAGTAATTTGTTCTAGAAGTGTATATAAAATGTATATGTAGTTTTTTAGCATTCAGTAGCATAGCACTTTTTCTACAGCATCTGACAAACTTTTTTATTCTACCAGGGGGAATTGCGACAAAGAATATCATGAATTGTACATAATATTTTAAGGTCTCTTGGATTTATGTCTCTATTATAGTTCTTTAAATGACTCAAATGAGAAAAAGACAAAAGACAAGATAAATAACAGTTCTCATATTTTACACACTGTACAGGGAAGATTCACTTTTGCTATTCACTCATTCTCCTATAAAAAGTGAAGTAATTTATTCAAGAGAATTAAATTTCCATTCCTGGGCAATGAGGCAGATAATACTTTTCTAATGTTGCTTCCCCAGCAGAGTAATGATTTTTAGGGAATATTTTTGGTGGTAGAATTTTTAAAAATTAATTTTGAATAAAAACATAGTAGCTTGAAATATTTTATTTTCAAGACCATTATCCTTGTAGATTGCAGTCATTAATTGTAATGCTTAGCTTGCACAGTATATAATGGCTTTTTTTACAAAATGCTGTCAGTGGTACCTTGTACAAATAACTTAGAAAAATAAATGTTACAGCTGCAGGAAACTAAAAAACTATGATACAGTGCAACCAGTATTCATGCTATATAACTAAAAAATTTTTTTCGTAAAGATGGAAAAGTGTAAGAATTATATTGTCATGTACTTTTGTTAGAATTTCTAAGTGAATTGAGTTGTCAATTCACAAAAAGTTGTCTCTGAGTCAAGTTCATGTATATAGACATTTTTTCCTCCATTCTTGGTCTTTCTGTTAGCTTTAATAAGAGCTGAACCAAAAGAGAAGGTATTTATGTGCCTCTAAGCTCCAAAGTCTTTTATGTGAAAGGATTTAGTGGGTTGATTTTAAGGAACACTTAGCTCTGAAAAATATTATGTATTTGGTAGATATCATTGAAAGGAAATGGGCACCCTTTCTAAGTAGTCTGTTAAATATTATTTTTTAATTTTGTCTTTTCTAGTGGACAGACTGGCTCAGGAAAAACATTTACTATGATGGGTAAGTAAATAAAAAATTTTTAAATGTTCTACTGGGTCAGACTGGTTTCTCTAGCTCAAGTTGGTTTTTTTGTTGGGGTTTTTTTTGTTTGTTTTGTTTTGTTTTTTTTGAGAATGGCATCCAGGGATGTTTTTTAGGAAGGTACAGTTTATTTGTTACTAACCTCAGACTATGAAAACATAGCAAAATTTTTCTCTTAATTATTTTTTGGTTTTGTCATTCATGAAATAAAATAAACCCTTTATACATTTTTTTTAAAGTTTCTAGCTTATGCCTGCTTTTGAGGGGTGATGAACTATATTAGTTTTATATTCCACTCATTGTATAAGTAATATTTAAAGTTCATCTTAAATTTATCTCTTGCAAGTGGCATCATTTGTCTGTCTTCCTCTCCTTTCTTGAATATCTTCTCTGTCTTTTTGGCTGCTGGTACATTGATCAATGTCTAGGATGACTTCTTGGGCTCTTTTTGGATTGTTATTGTTAATTTGGAGGCTGTCATCTTAGAGTTTAAATCATTTTCTCTTAAATATCTTACTTTGAGGGGCAGCGAGGTGGCAGAGTAGATAGAACTCCAGCCTTGGAGTCCGGAGGACCCGAGTTCAAATCCAACCTCAGACACTTGACACTACCTGTGTGACCGTGGGCACGTTACTTAACCCCCATTGCCTCACCAAAAAAAAAAAACCAAAAACCAAAAAATAAAAAGATCTTTGTTTATCTCCAATCTTTCTCTCTTTAACAGGCAGCAAATACCCACTTTACCCATTTCTGCTCTTTTGAGATCAAACTGCTCGATTTTTTTCCACTACCTGGAAGAGCTAGGTTTTGTCTGGAATAAAGTATGTTTGTTTTCAGATTGGGAGGTTAGTGAATTGTCAAATCCAGTGCCTGTGATTCTTTTTCTGTGTTAAAATAACACAGAAATGTGGTAGTTCAGTTCCGCTTCATGATGTGGAGGTAGCCCTGGTATCTTGAAGGCTTTGGCAAAGTGACAGCAAGCTGTACTGAGTTCTGCCTTTCTGGAAAAGTTTTGTGGTCATAGAGTAGGTATTCAGCCCAAAGAAGGCCAGAGCACCAGAGCTCTTCCCCACATGTTTTCCAGGAGGTATCCGTTTGCTATGATTGAAAAAAATTGACTAGTTGGTGATCTGTTGCTGTTGGAAGATAGAACCCACAGCATAGAATTGATAGATCTTTGAAACTACTAAAGAAATGACTTAGATTGGTCTCTATGGATCCGCTCTTGCAACTTTGCTTTGCAGGTAATGTTGCTTTAGGTTGTAATTGAGATTTTCTTCAAATTTTTAAAGTTAACCTTATGCTAAAGCATAAATAAGAAAATAGATTTGTAGTTAAATTTTGTTTTATTTTCAGTAATGTATTGTTTTTCAGTTTTGTGAAATAGCTAGTCTAGTGCTATAAAAACAAATACTTGATGATTTTATGAACCTTTTCAAATTTTGTTTTCTTTAGGACCATCTGAATCTGATAATTTCACTCATAACCTTAGAGGAGTAATTCCCAGAAGTTTTGAATATCTCTTTTTTTTAATTGATCGTGAAAAGGAGAAGGTAAATTTTATTTTTTTAAATTAAGAGGCATAGGACATAAGGTTTTCAGCATATTAGAATGTAAAAGTGATGCTATTTATAAGGACGTGATGAAAACATGAGAGGAGAAAAGGGCAAAAACATATTAGTAGCGTGATATACAGAACCCAGTTCTCAAGGAAAGAGAAAGGAATTGGATTCATCATAATTACATATGGCTTAAATTTGGTTATTAGTAAAAATAAACCCTAACTACAAGTCAGTGCAAAAGGAGAAAATACTTAATTTAGTCTCACAATTCTCAAAAGAAATAATGTTCTCAAAATATTTTTGTTTGCCCTGTGCCCAATCTCACTTTCCCATGCTGCATGCCATGCATAGACACACTTCCCACCCTGCCTTTGAGCAGGCCTCCTCACCACAATTCCAGTGGGGGACGTTTGTAGTCTTCCATCATAGTCAGTAGAGGGCTCAGTCCTTCCAGTGCCCTTACTCTTAGTCTGTCTTCTCTAGTTTTGGGGTTCTACTTTAGTGAATCAAAAGTCGTGGTGCCCATTTCACCTGGACTTTAAACCTGTGGCTGTCGCCATGTGCTCTGTCCCCTCATATTTGGTAGGTAGTACTCGGTACAGTTCAGCAACTGCCACCTGACTGTCACTTAAACTAAGCACTATGTAGTAGTTGAGATATGTGTATGTTTACATATGATATATATTAGAAATTTGTTAGAAAATTAGATAATATATTTTATAAAATAGAGAAAATGTGTAGCTAACATAGATATGGAAGAGGGGAATAAAAAACACTAGTCTCTTGTGCTTTTTGTATTTTGTTAACTATCACACAGGAAATGTCGACCTTATGAAGTGATTGTAAGATAGGATTATCATGATTGCAGCTGTGCTAGAGAAGTGCTTTTGTGAAAATTATACATCCGTGTACAATGCTGTTTTCCAGGCTGGTGCTGGAAAGACTTTCCTTTGTAAGTGCTCATTCATTGAAATTTACAATGAGCAGATATTTGATCTGTTGGATTCTGCCTCTACTGGGCTGTTATTAAGGGAACATATCAAGAAGGGCGTCTGTGTTGTCGGGGCTGTTGAACAGGTGGTAACATCTGCTGCTGAAGCCTATCAGGTAACTAGTCTTGTGTTATTTGGTGTTTGGGCAGCATTCCCATGTAGTTGAGGCGCACACTGGTGGCAGAAGTGAAAGTGTCCAAAATAAAACTGATAAATATTTTGCAAAGGAGTAGTAGAGAATGTACATATAAAAAAGAGGAAAATATAGCTTTTCATAGGTTTTACCTTTACATAAAGAAATAAACATTTTTGGTGGTAAAATGTTATTTAAATATTTAATATTGAGTATTTTTGTCCTTATTAATTACTGAGGGAGTCTGGCTGCCAAAATTCTCACATGATTAACTCAGTTACCCTCATAGTAGCTTGACTCTGGCAAATACTTCTTTTCAGTTTTTTATTAACGTTATCTTTGGTTACTTAAACCATTCTTTTAAAAGTAATTATTTTAGGGGCAGCTGGGTGTCACAGTAGATAGAGCTCAGGCCTTGGGGTCAGGAAGACCTGAGTTCAAAAATGGCCTCAGACATTTGACACTTACTAGCTATGTGACCCTGGGCAAGTTACTTAACCCCAACTGCCTCACCCAAAAAAGGCAAAAAAAGGTAATTATTTTAAAGCATTTCCTCATGTGTTTTCTGTTTAGACCATCTAATAAGATTTAACTTAATAAAGATTAATGTAAAATACAGTTTCCCAGTATAAGATAAGGATAATATGTGCAGACTTTAGTTAATCTGAAAAAACTATGGAGGCTGTCAGTATATGTGAGTGATATAACAGGGCAGCCACAAAGGCTACATTCAGAGTCCTAGTGTCAAGGAGCACGGAGGCTATGGGGCCATTGAGCACTAACCACCTGCAGAGTCCTGTTTTAATTCTGAGTGCCACGTTTTAGGAAGGACAGAGGTTCCAGAAGAGAGAGACTGATGGTGAAAGGCCAGAGAGGAATGCCAAGTGCCCTGTTTGGCATGTAGTGCCCCTCTCAATTTGATGTCAGTCTGACTTTCTGGACTGATCTGGTTGGATACTACAACTCACATACTCTATTCTGTGTTTTACCTATACTATCATACTTATCTTTCTCCTTTCAAAACATTTTTTTTCTGCCTTTGATGTATTGCATATTTGCATCATGTATGTAGTTTTATTTCCACACGGTTGTTTGCCTGTTGTCTCTCCCCTATTAGACTGTGAGTTCCTTGAGGGCAGAATAGAAATTGTCACCACCAAAGTCCTTAGCACTGACATGTACAGTATCAGAAATGGTTGTGGTTTTATCAGTGGAGATATTAAAGAAGATCCATTCCTCTCTGCTCTGCCACTGAACCTGAGGAGTTCTGGGCCTTTCCATCAGACTTGTGGTTGAACTGTCCTCTGTGTTGAATTCAAAGATGCGGAGACGGGCTGGAAGAAAACAGCAAGTCCAGTGGGGCTGGACTATATAGTGCAGAAAGGGCAATCACGTATGGTAAGGTTAGAAAGACAGGTTGGGACCGGGCTGTGAAGGGCTTTAAAAGCAAGGCAGAAGAGCTTATGTATGAACATAGAGGCGCTAGGGAACTGTTGAAATGTAGTGAGTAGAGGAATGATCTAGTCAGACCTATACTTGAGTACATCCTGTTTGGCAGCTGTGGGGAGACTTGAGGCACAAAGGCCAATTAATAACTAGCAATTATATAATGCTTTCAGTTTTACTGAGTGCTTTACAAATGTTGGCTCCTTTGGTCCTCACAACAACCCTGAGAGCTATTATTATCCCCGTTTTACAGATGAGGAAATGTGAAGCTGGTAAAGGAATTGCATAGGTTCATATAACTAGTATCTGATGCACAATTTGGACAAGTCTCTGTGACTCCCAGTTCAATGCTTTTCAATTAGGAAGCCCCTGCAGTAGTGCAGGCAGGAGGTAATGCAGGTGTGGCCTAGCAGGGCGGTTATATGAGAAGACAGAAGAGGTCCAATGAGAGAGATGTAGTAGAGGTAGACGTCCTAAGATTGGTAACTGATTGGCTATGTAGGGTGAGGGAGAGTAAGGCGTGAAGGACACTACCATTATTTCACCAGAACGATGGCACTACCCTCACCAGAAATAGGGAAATTCAGAAAAGGAATGGGTTTGGGGTAAAGATAATGAATTTGGACATGCTGAGTTTGAAATATACAGTAGACAGTTGGAGAAATGTGATTGGAATGCGAGACAGAGAGAGACTGGTCCTGGAATAGATTTGGAAATTGTCTGTGTAAAGAAGATGAGTAGAATCATGGTAGCTCATGAGGTCGCTGATAGGGTAGAACAGAGAAGAGGGCCCAGGACAGAGGCTTGGGGAATACCCACAATCAGGGGGCATGATATGGATGATGAACCAGCGGAAGAGACTTAGAAAGGGCCCTATGAAGAAATCGGTGTCACAAAAACCCAGCTTAGAATGTTTCCTTCTCCACTTTTTGAGGAGGCATTGTTGCCTCTGAATTCAAGTATTTGGAAGGAAGGTGAATTTGATGTTTTTTGCCCCCAGAGGGCAGAAATAGGAACAGTGGCAGATGTTGCTGTGAGGAGAGTTTCTGTTAGAAATCGCTTTCCGATAATTAGTTATCCCCAGGGGAATGCTTGCTTTCCCATGGGAGGTAGCAAGTTGTGGTCAGTGGAGATCTTTAGGCAGAGGCTTCCTGACCACTTGTCAGGCATGAGAAGTTGAAGATTATACTGATCAACATTAATTCAGCTCATGCGATGGTGAATGTACTGCAGTAGACTGTGAGTCATAGATTTTTAGCTCTGATGGGAATCTTACAGATGAGGTAGCCCAACTTTTCATTTTGTGGCTGAGTAAACTGAGGCTTAGGAGGTGAAGTGTCTTGTCCAAAGTCTTCAAACTAGTTAAATGGTTTCTGTCATGTAACCCTTTTGTCATGTTCATGACATTGAAGTGGTGGTGTTATTGTATCTATTGGTACAAAATAGGATCTCACCATAATATCGTATAATTTAGGGCTTGGAAGGAACTTTAAAAATCTTAGAGTACAGTACCATGCCTGATAAACCACTTAGCATTTGACTTGAAGGCCAAGTGAAATTAAGATGGAGGCAGTATGTTTCTCTGCCCTGTTCTAGAGTTGAAACATTTATTATATAAATGAGAGTGTGTGTGTCTGTGTGTCTGTGTCTGTGTGTGTGTACACTTTCTTGGAGCTATCCCTTATTTTCTTATAAATGATTCTCAAGCTCATAGTTAGCAATGTCAGTTTCTATTTCTTGGATGCTCATGTTTTGCTATCTTCCTTTCTTCCCAGGTATTATCTGGGGGATGGCGAAATAGACGTGTGGCAGCTACATCTATGAATAGAGAGTCTTCCAGGTCTCATGCTGTCTTTACAATTACAGTAGAATCAATGGAGAAAAACAATGATGTTGTCAATATTCGGTCCTCCCAACTCAACCTGGTAGACTTAGCTGGATCTGAAAGACAAAAAGATACACATACGGAAGGTTTGAGATTGAAGGTAAGAATTCAGCGTGGGATCTTCAGTGGACATTGAATATTTGACCCCCTATTGTAGTACTGGGCCAAAGGCTGCAAAGTATGACATACAGCACGTGCTTTTGAGGAGCTTACTGTCTTACTGGGCAGACTAGATATCACTTACTACTTTAATGTTTCAGTTTATCAAGTGCCAAAGTTTGCTGAAAAATGGTTTAGAAAGGGAGAGACCAGATTGGCCAAGAATGAGTGAGAGATGCTTGATGGAGGGAGATAAACTTGGGCAACATCTGAAGAATAGGTAGGATTTAGATAAGAGGAAAGCTCATCCCAGATCAGGGCATCTACATGAATGGTAGAGTGGGCGTGGCATTTTCAGAAAATGGTGAGACCATCATGCATCCTGGTTAGAATAGAGACTTTACTTTAGAGAGAAATGGGCAGAGAGTTTGGATAGATAGGATAGACCCAAATTAGGGAGGAACTGAGTAAAAATGATAATCTGTACTACCTGGACCCTCTCATTTCCTTCCTCACTTTCTCCTAAAGTTCATACTTCCACTGATAACAGAGCAATGCACACAAAAGGTAGCCAGCTCCAACGTTTGTTGCTTTCTGATTTATCTCTTTCAAAACTCTGTTATCTCAAGTCAAATTATTGAAACAACTTCACAGAGAAAAACCTAATAGGCATATATTCATTCCGTCTCCAGAAGTCAGTTATTATACAGGGGTCCACTGTATTTTATAAAATTAAATCTAGTATGTTTACTTGGGCAGCTAGATGGCCCAGTGGATAGAGTTCCAGGCTTGGAGTCAGGAAGACTCATCTTCTTGAGTTCAAATCTGGCCTGAGACGTTTAGTAGCTATGTGACCCTAGCCAAGTCACTTAACCCTGTTTGCCTAAGTTTCTTCATCTGTAAGATCAGCTGGAGAAGTAAATGGTAAACCACTCCAGTATCTTTGCCAAGAAAACCCTAAATGGGGTCACAGAGTAAGACATGACTAAAAAAATGACTGGACAACAAAAATGTTTCTTTGCTTCCCTTTAAATACTAAAAATTGCACGAAAGGTAAATGTAGGAAAAGAGTAGTGTGGTCAGGCACTATCTTTTGTTGTTGTTTTTAAGAAAATCATTGCCAGTACTGTTATTCTTTGCCAGAGTTTCAGTTACTGCTATTTATGATTTTGTTAGTTACAAAACAAGTAGCCTGTGCTAAACTAAGCATTTTCTCTTTTTCTGTGTTGATTTAGGAAGCAGGTAATATAAATCGATCATTGAGCTGCCTCGGTCAAGTGATTACAGCCCTCGTAGACGTTGGTAATGGAAAACAAAGACACGTGTGCTACCGGGACTCCAAGCTTACTTTCTTACTCCGGGTAAAGTAGGATGTTTGTTGAATGTACTATTTTAAAAGTCACACCAAATGAACTGGTCATGGAAGCAGCTCTTTCTTATTCTGTTTGCCAATTATATGTTTACTATAGGTGGAAATTATTATCTGATTTTTTTTAACTAAAAATTAATATTACTAAACAGGATTCTCTTGGAGGTAATGCCAAAACAGCCATAATTGCTAATGTCCACCCTGGATCCAAGTGTTTTGGAGAAACTCTCTCAACTCTTAACTTTGCTCAGAGAGCTAAGCTGATTAAAAACAAGGTAAATTTTTTATGAGTATTTTTTATTACCACTAAAATAAATAAAAATTATTTCATGAAATGCCATAAGAATGGAATGCTGGCCATTTATTTTATGGTCAAACCAAGTAAGCAATTTATTAAGCATTTACAATATGCCAGGCAATTGTACTAATCACAAAAGGATACAAATAAAAGCAAAAAGACAGTTCCTGCCCTCAAAAAGCTTATATTGGGGAAAGACACATGTGAAAAGGAATAGTCACAATTGAACCTTAGAGCACATTTTCTACCTGGGTAGTTTTTAGGGTTTGAGGCGTGGCTATAGGAAGATTGTTTTGTTTTCTCTTTCAGGAGGAAGTTAAGCTTAAGTATAACTGACACTTTGAGGCTAAATTTCCTAAATCATCCTTACATCATGTCTAGTCCAACTCACATTTGAATTCTAGTTGAATTTGTACCCACGCTGTGTTTTTCCTTTGAGGCTTTGTTTGTAGATGTTTTGGAGTCATTCTCTTCTCCTGGGTTTATAGCTTGAGTGTCTCCATCACCAGAATGACTTTTTTATGGTGGGATACTTTGTCTATTCATTTTTCTAGCCTACCTTCTGACTTCAGGCTTTTTATGTTAGGGCCAGGCACCCTTCTTGTCTTGCTGCTGCTTTCTTGGGCTGTCAAGTGTTGTGTTATGATAGAATCTCAGGGACAGTTCAGGCTGGGGGCCTGCAAACTATCAGTGCTACCCAGGCTAAAGTCTGATTGCTGCCCACCTGGTCTGAGTTCTGCAAGTCTCTGACCCAGGTCTGGGTGTGCTTACACTCCTGTTGGCTTGTCACTGGTTGGAAGCTCCGGTAGACTGTGGCTGGACTTAGCTGCTGTCAGGCAGCTAGAAAGCTCTGCCGGCTCTGAGTAACCCAGCCGCAGGGCAGGGGCCCTTTTGGCCTGGGATTCCTGCCTTGGTTGTTCCTCTGCAGGCTGAAGACTAGGACTCTGATAGCTTTGTGTCATCTGCCGATCCATAGACGTTCCATCTCTACCTTTATCCAAGCCACTGATAGAAGTGTTAAACAGTGCAATGTTCCGTTACACAATGGAACACTTCACTGAAGGTGTGCTTCCGGGTTGACACAGAACCATCAGTTGCCCCTTTTTAGGATCCAGACGTCATCAGTTCTAAATACATCTGACACACCTGCATCCCTTCATCTTGTTCGTAAGAATAGCACGAGGAACTTTGCCAAATATTTTGCTGTAATCTGGGTAAACGATATCCACGGCATTATCCTTATTTCCTAATCTCAATCGATGATTTTTTTTTTTTTAAAAGAAAATTAGGTTAATCTGACGTGGCATGTTCATCATCAAGTTATACTGGCCACTGTAATCACCATTTCCTTTTCCAGGTTTCCTTTTACTTTCCTCCTCTTTAATAATATGGTTCAGGATTTCACCAGGAACAAGTCAAGCTTATCGGCTTGGTTGGCAGATTATGCTCAGTCCAGTTCTACAGTGCCTTTCCGTATTTTTGAGTATCCTGTGATATGGTTCATGTTGGTCTAGTCTTGAACTCAGCAGGAGCATCGGGATGCTCTCCCTCTTTCCCTATGAACCATTTAAGACCAGAGGAGGCTTCCTCTCTTATTCTCTTTGCAGCCTTCTGTGCAAATTGTCTTCCCTATGAGAGGGATCCTTTGCCCGTTCCCAACCAGAGTAGAGGTTAACTTAACCAAGTAAGAGGTAAGTGACCACTCACCATGAGGAAGCAGCCCTACTGGTAGAGTTGCAGTCAGCACACACAACTCCCACAAGGACAGCGTGCACCTTGATGAACAAGCGTGTGAAAAATGCTCCCCTGAAGACCTCTAAAGCCTCAGTGTGGAGTAAAAGTAACTGGAGTCTTAAAGGCTCAGCCAGAGATATAGGAGCTCCTGCTGATCCAGAAATACTGTGAGCCTGGGCCTGGGGACAGGCTTCATCTTCAGTTTGCAGGGAAGGTTGTCTACAGGACGGGGAAACTCCTGAAAGCCATCAGACATAAGGTGTTTGAGGGGTACAGTCTACGTCGGTGGAGAGGTTGTGCCCACACTGACAAAATCATGATCTTTGAAGTGCTGAAGCAAGTGTGTATCCCATAGAAAGGGGACCAGCTTAGCAGAACAAAACTATGTGGCAGAAGGGAAATTGGGGGACTGGCCTTACTCGCTGTATTGAGTAACTCGAATGGGGAAAAACCTGTCAGTAGGCAGGCTGTGAGGAAAGGATCTCCAGGGAGACAAGGAGCGTATTTTTAAAAAGCTGTTTCCTCAAAGGAGTCTGCAACCCCAGACTTGCTTTAGGGCTGTGTGCCGGGGGCAGGAACTCCAAGTGACTTTTACCCTGTCTGCAGGAGGAGAAGTTGAGAGGAGAAAAAGAGGGAGTTTGCCCTAAGAACCTAAGAATCCCAGATCAGAATTGAAAGGAGGCTCAGGAAATCTGGATTAAGCAGCCAGCCTCGTCACTTGGAGCGCTCATCGCTCTGAGAGCTCTGGACCAAAGAGTGGTGTTTAGGTCCCTTGTTAGTTTTATCCTGCAGAGCTAAACTCAGGCCGGCTGGGTCACTCCTAGTGCTTGTTGAGACACTGAATCACCCAGTTCTGGGCCTTTACACAGACTGTTTTCTGTTCTTAGATTGCTCTCCATCCTCACTCCCATCTCTTCTTAGAACCCCTAGGTTTTGTCGAGGATTAGCCCCAGGGCTATCTTCTTGAAGAGAGACACCTTTCCTGATTCCCCTAATTTATATTTGTAGACATACACAAGTCACTTTGTGTTTTGTATAAACATAGAGAAGTGAATATAGGACATGCAGCCTCCTGATAAAATGTAAGCACTCTGAGGGCAAGGACTATGTCACTATTAGCATATATCGTTCCAGCACCTAGCACAGTTATCTGGCACCAGGGTACTTAATAAATACTTTTTGACTGATTGATAATAGAAGGCGCACTGGACGGGCCCTCGAGTCCTAGATCACTAGGTGCCCTGACCCCTTAGTTCTTGTTCTTGTATTTCCACTAGTGTGGTTAGTGACTTTGGGCAAGTCACTTCTTACGGGCTTCCATTTCCTTACCATGAGATATTGAAATTAAATGATCTTCAAGGTCCTTGATGTCTCTGCATTTTTTTTTCTAGGTATTTTGTTGCTGTTTGTATGTAGAATAGTATGACTTTTCATCATTCTATATCATATACAAATTTAAGTGTAAAACTATGCAGTGTGGTGCCTGCTATATTTTCCCCTCTGAAAATATTAAAATCAAACTCATATGTATCCATAACACAGCAATCTTTCAGCATGAAAAAAGGCTTAATTTTCTTTCAAAATGTTCCCAATCTCTTCTTTTTTGCTAGGAGCATTTCAAATCTCTTATCCTCCCCAATATTTATAAGCTTCATCATTATATTTAAAGTTCAGTGGCAAAATTAACTTGGGAAACTATGTAACAAAATAATTTTTCTTTTTTTTTTTTTCTTTTTTTTTTGCATCAGGCTGTGGTAAATGAAGACATGCAAGGAAATGTGAGCCAGCTTCAAGCAGAAGTGAAAAAGCTCAAAGAACAGCTGGCTCACCTGGCCCCAGGTGCCAGTGCTGTCCCAGGTGAGGCGGCCAGAGTGTTTCTCATCTTCTGTTTTATTTCCCAGTGGTTTGGACTTAGCCCAGCATTTTAGTGCTGCCTCAGTCAGATGACCAAGGAGCTCCTGTCTAGAAGGAGGAACAGCGTCCCTTTAAAGGAGCAAAAGGCCGAGAATTACAAAGCAAAGGATGAAGAGATCAAATGGCAGAGGGAGCCCAGGGTGACCAGGTCTCAAGCTCTGTGACAAGGTAGTAGTCACTAAAACACAGAAGAAAGGACCAGAGGAATCAGTAGACCAGCGAGACTCCAGGCCAACAAGCACATCCACCTAGGCAGGAGACATGCGGAGGGGATTGTGTCTGAGCTCCAAATGTACACGTGACCCGAATGGCAGAGGTCACATCAAAAATAGTTGGGAAGATTTTGTTCATACAGCAAAGCCTTATAGACTTGCCTCATTCCTATGACCTTTGCAGGAGTCATGTGGCCCCTGTTGGCCCATTCCCATCCTTTGTCCCAAATCTGCTTTAAAAATGCTAAAATAGTGTCTCTTTCTCCTGTGGAAGGTCAGCTACTTGATCACCATTCCCATTCCTGTTGCTGTGCAAAATCCAAAAATGCTTCCTCCATCATCAGCATGCAGATATTTTTTCTGTTTTATAAATTGAAGGAACTAAAAATCAGAAAGCATATTTTTTTTTCCGTTTTCCACGCTAAGCAATTAGCACAGAATTTAATATACATATATGCCATTACTTTTATCCCTCCCATCTTTTAAAGACCAGCTGTTCCATCAGGCCTCCTTAAGGTAGGCAACCTAAAGTCCTGGCTATAACATTTACTAATGAGGTAAGCAAAAGGGAGTCATTTGTCCTTTGCGAGCCTCAGTTTCTCATATGTCCCTTGGAGAGTAGTTGGGAGGAAAATACTTGATAAGCCTCTGTAAATACATATGATTAGGAATCAGAAAGACTTGGCTTCAAGGGCTGCTTCTAACTCATTCGGGCTGTGTGATCCTGATGAAGTCGCTTCATATGCTGCAGAATGGTGGCCTGTCTCAAAGACAGGTAGAGGGATTTCTTCATCAGGAGTTCTGTAGCCCCATGACGCTCCTAGTCTAGAACTGAAATCAAACTAACAACCCTTGAAATTGACGTTGGAGTCAACTGATGTAGGTGTTTTTCTTTGGTTTCCTTAATAATTGAGCAGCTGCCTCTTAAGTCAACAAGTGGAATGCTAAGTGCTGGGAATATACATTGAGCCAAACAGATAGCTTCTGCCCTCAAGGAGCTTCCATTTGAATGGGGCAGAAAACGTAAAAGGAACTGAAGGAGGAAGGGGACAGGTCAGGGAGGGTAGCCATGGCCTACCTACGTGAAGCATTTTTGTATCTGAATAAATGGCTTCTGGTAGTAAGTCTCTCACCTGCTGTCTTTGGTTTCCCATCCTTGCAATGCTTCAAGATCACATCTGGGAAAACTTCCACGTGGCACCAGTTCTTGAGTCTGTAGTCTTTGTATCGTTGTTCAGTTGTTTAGTCCTGTCCAACCCTTTGTGACCCTATGGACTGTACTGTCTATGAGGTTTTCTTAGTAAAGAAACTAGAGTGGTTTGCATTTCCTTCTCCAGTGGATCGAGACAAACAGGTTTAGTGACTTGTCTGAGGTCACACGGCTAGTAAATGGTTGAGGCCAGATTTGAGCTTGGGTCTTCCTGACTCTGGGCCCAGTGCTCTATCCACTAAACCTTCTAGCTGCCTCAGTCTGTGAATTACTATTGTGCTAAAGTTAAATCAGAAATCGATAGTTTTTTAAATATTTTGGCATGATCTTCTAATGGCATTTTCACAGTAAAATTAAATTTGGGTATAGTATTTTCCTTATCCCTTAAAGGATATTGATACTAGACCTCAGAGCAAATTCAAATGTACAGAATTGCCAAAATGTGGATTATCCTACTCTCCTACTCTGAAAGATCCTTTTTAGCAGTACAATTCAACAAACATTAAGTACTCATCTCTTCATATCCCGCATATATTTGCAATCCCATAGAGATTTCTAGGTAAATATTTAATTGATATGACTTCTAGCTCATTTCTCTTTAGTACAGCTTTGGCTCATAAACCAAGTTGTGATACCTATGTCCCTACTTTCTCTCAGTGCTCGAAAAGATGAGACTCATTTTTTTATACATTTTCTACTGTCTTGTTTTTAAGTACAAATATTCTACCCACACTCATCTCTCCCTTTCTATTGCTATTCATATCATACAGCTAAGAAACAATATTTGTTTTGCCTGCATGTAGTCAGATAACCATGATAAGAAAAGATCTTAGTAAAATGTTGACACCTATTATTTCTTTTTGACATTATACATGTGTATAATTTTGTTACTTGGGACGAGAAAAAAACTGAATTTTCTTCATTGAGTAACTACTGAGTCTGATAAGTAAAGGTACTAGAATTACATTTCCCTGTAAAGGGAGAGATTGAACTGATGCTTTAAGGTTGTTTCCAGCCTTGAAATTCTGATTTTCTATCATACTGGAAAGATCTTGTTACATGCAAAAGAAAATCTTATTGCTGTTTTGTGTTGGGGTTTTGAAAAGTTTGTTGCTTAGTATTTTTGTGAGGGAGAAATGACATTTCTTTTTTTATTTTAGATGAAGAAAATACTAAATACATGAACTGTTTTCGAGAGGCAATGTTATTCTTGAAGAAAGCTGAACATGAAAAGAAGGTAAGAAACTTTGAGTTTTGCTATAGTGGGATGAGCTATTTAGAGCATCATTTTTTTTTTTAACTTTTCAAAATTGAAGCAGATTTTTACCAGTCAGAATGTTAAAAAATCAAAACCAGGAAGAATACAAAATATCTGAATTAAGGTCGAATTTGAAGCTGGTATTTACAGATTCTTTTATCTGCTTTGTGAATTCTTCAGAAATGTTGAAGGAGGCTCATTTGTCATTAATTTTACCAAATTATCTCTTCCTTAAGTCTTTATTAGAAAAAGTTGCACAGTTGGAAGATCTCAGTGTCAGGAAGGAAAAGTTCATTCAGTCCAATAAAATGATCGTTAAATTTCGGGAAGATCATATAACACGCTTAGAGAAACTCCAGAGAGAAGCACGGGGCCATTTTCTGCCCGAAGAACAGGATGAGCTGCTCCGTGAGTTACGGGAAGAGATACAGGCTCTGCGAGAACAGGTGAGCACGGGTGACCTGGGCTGCTTTCTGAGAGCGGAGAACTCATAAACACAGAGGGAAGATGGGGCAGGGGGGTGCGCGGTTTGGTGAAATGACTGGTTTTGTAATGAATCTTATTGGTTAAGCCACTTGAGCTATTTAATTCAAGTGACTGTTCCATTAGTTGATTTCCTTCAATCCCTCTCAGTCTGAAATGGAAAGAGAGTTGTAGGGGCAACTGGGTGGTGCAGTGGATAGAGCACCAGCCCTGGAGTCAGGAGGACCTGAGTTCAAATCCGGCCTCAGACATATAACACTTACTAGCTGTCTGACCCTGGGCAAGTCACTTAACCCCATTGCCTTGCCAAAAAAAAAAAGAAAGAGAGTTGTAGAGTGAGACTGCCCACTGGCTGGGATGGAGGCCAAAGCTGATGGGCCAAAAAGATGCGCCTGTAGCTTCCAGGGATGGCTACGGAGCTGCTGCCATTGGGGTTTCCCACATTCCCCAATAATTTGTTCATTCAACATTTTCTGTTTTACGATGCATCTGTACCCCTCAACCAACCCTGTTTGGCTTTAACAGGATTTTGGGGAGGGGAAAGCTCAGAATTTAAATGAATCTTGGGTAGAAATATAGCTTTCATGTGGTACATAATGGGTCATACTGAATTCCTCAAAAACCAGGTGATGCAATATGACTTTTTTTTTTCAGTACTTCAAAGGACTTTGAAGCCCTAGCACTGTCTATTGACTTACACAATTAAGACTCTGATTTAATTTCTGTAGCCTAAGTTAATCTTTTATACAGCTATAAAACTTTCTAATTTGGGGAGGGAATAGGATATAGTTTAACTTTTTTTAAATGAATTTTTAAGTAGGAAATTAAAAGCAGATGGGCTGTTTTCTTGAGTAACATTTCTGCTAAGGACAGTGATGACAAGTGATTTACTCTAGGCCTTGTAACCTGCCAGTTTACTTTTAGACATACCCAAGAGTTTAAGAAAAAAAAATTTTTTTGAGATAATACTTCTAGGAATGGACTCAGCTGTGATTTCAAAAGAATGAAAATTTTATTTTCCCTGACAGTGATAGTCTCCCAATGGGGAGGGTTACTGAAGGGAAAAACTTCTAAGAATTGAGAAACACTATGGGTGTTGGAGGGGATAAACTAAATGAAATACTGTTTGGTAGAACCCACTAACCATATAATTAAGATGTAGTCTTTATCAAGACAGCCTCATAATCACTTAACATTACTCTTAATAAAGAAAGGTTAATTCTTACTCTGTATCATATCTCACTTAGTCATCAAGGGATCAAATGAAAAGATCCATAGAAGGCAGGAAGTTTATTGCAATAATAAAATAATGTATTTTTGGCAGTAACTTCATATCTGTGGAAGTAGCGTAGCCTAGCTATTATAGTAAGTAAGAGTTAAAATATGGAATGATTGGTGTCAAAATGGTTAGTGTATGTTCTTTGTATGAATGAAACTGGAGAAGTAGGCCTTTACTCTTGATTGATTACTCACATGCAGGATTAATTTATTGTAACATTTTGTTTCCAAAGGCATCTTAGGTCTCTTTCTGGGAGATTTAACTTCAGCAGACCCGTTTATTTAGAAAATCGAATTGTACAATAAGAATGTAATCCAAATCTGTAAATTCCCCTGTCTCACAGGTAGAGCAGCACCCTCGTATTGTGAAGTATGCTACGGAAAACCACTCCCTCAGGGAGGAGAATAAGCGACTTCGGTCTTTAGAATCTGTGAAAAGAGTCCAGGAAATGGATGCACAGACCATTGCAAAATTAGAGCAAGCTTTCTTTGAAATTTCTGGCACAGAGAAAAATGAGAAAGGTAAAAACAAAATAGAGGGGCAAGAAGGTCTAAGAAATAATGTGCATCAGATGTATAGGAATTTGTCTTGTAAAAATGACATGTTTTCTAAATGGTGTTTGTAATATTTTTCTATCTTTGGTCTTAATTTTAGTTTTAAGCACTTATTCTACCTTCCTGTGTATCATGTCCTCTGCATGTGGAAATGACTGTCACTTATATGCATCATGTTTTTTCTTTTAAACACTAAAACACATTTTCTTTAAAATCATAGTAATGAATTATGTAGCATAATGGAAATAGTTTATATAATGCAACCTAATGTTTTGATATTAGATAATGTTTCAATTTAAAGTGCTTGTCATAAAAGTCTAGTTCATCAAACAAGCATGTATTAAGCCCGACTCTGTGTAAGACTGTATGCTAGGTGCTGAGTAGGTAAAAAACCAAGCATGCAAACAGTTCCTGTTCTCACGATGCCCACAGTCTAAGGGAAGAGGCAGCATGCAGAAGACTAAGTACAAACAAGATATGAACGGGATAGTTGGGAAGGCACATGGGGAATGGCTTCTTTGAAGAAAGCCAGGGGTGCCAGGAGGTGGAGATGAGCAGGCACGAGGGACAGCCAGGAAGTTTCTGAAATTCAGAGACAGGAGGTCTTGGAGGAGGAAGAGTCAGGAGGCCAGTGTTGCTGGATCATGGAATAAAGTGTATGAGAAGACTGGAAAGATGGGAGGAGTCTGTTTATGAAGGGCTTTAAAAACCAAAAAAATTCACATTTGATCCCGGAGGTAATAGAGAGCCACTGACGTTTATTGACCAGGGAATTTAAAAGGTGAAGGGAATTAAAGCCCTCCTGTGCTTTAGGAAAATCACTTTGGGAGCTTAGTGGAGGATGCCTGGACTGGAGAGAGACTCGAGGCCAGCAGACCCTCCAGCAGGCTCTTAAACTGTATGAGGTGAAAGGGAGGAGCAATGCCAGAGAAGAAAAGGGGGCATATTCAGGAGATGTTAGGAAAGTTGATAGGACAGGCCTTGCAACTGATTGGACGTGGGGGCAAAAGAGAGGAGTCTAAGACAATCCCTTAGCTGTGACCCGAGGACTGGGAGTTCAGTAGGAGGACTGTGGGCCTGCTACATACTACAGACTTACCAAAAGCATCTTCACTTCTTGAGTTTCTAGGAAAAAATGATCACCTTGTGGCCAAGATTCTTGTGGTGAGCCTTCATGAATGTCACCGGGTGCAACCTTGGACACCAGGCCTCCACTTGGTCACTAGGCCAAGGCCCCAAGCCTTTCCCTCTAAGTGAAACCTGCCGGAGTTTGTATTCTATTGGCAGAATATTTGAGAAGCCAGGGCCAGATGTGCAGCATGCACACGGCCGCTGGTAGAGACTTCAGTGCAGGAGGAAGACTCCCAAAGACCATCCTAGGTCAGACTGATGAGCCAGTCAGCTGGATGACAGTGTGCAGACATGCCTTCACAGCACATGTCCTTTTGTCGTCAGGCTGAAAACACAGCCCATCCCCTTCGGGCATTCCTCAGAATAACCTATTAAGTAGCAATCTGCTATGAAATTGCTTAAGCTTTTCTTGAATTATATGTATATTTTCTTGCTTGCAGCATCCCCTCAGATAAAGAGTTCCATAAGTTTATTTCCACACTGTATGGTGGTAATTTATACTAAACCTATTTCAACCCTTAAGAGATATCCTTTAATGTTCTAGAGTTTGACTGAAGCTTGAATTTGCTTTTTAATGATGAGATTTTATGAGAAGTTCTAATATTTTTAATCTTATTCCACAAATCCTTTTGTCCCCTTGATCATTTTAAGTTCTCTTTGTAGACTTTCCCTATCCATCCTAAGGTACAGGTCAAAATCGCACGCAGTATTTCAGCTAAATACGAACCGCGCTTTTGTGAATGTCATAAATGTTTTGTTTCCAGTGACCTTTCTTGCCCTGTGTTTTGTTGACCTCAGAAGCACATTGGACAAATTGGAGAATGTAATAACCCATCACTCCTGTTTGAAGCTCGCTTATAAATGCTTTTGACCCATACTTTAAATCCAAGTGCTTCCAACACTGATCCCTGGGTGACAAATTTTGTTAATAGTTCTCCATTCAGGAGTGCCTAATTAGCCATGTTCTTTGTTCCCTATCTAGGTAATGTCATCTAGCCATGACCAAATATTTCCCATTCCATGTCATCTCAGCTTGGGTTGGCTGTGACTTTTAAACACACTGGATATATCCTGGGCCTCCAATTAGATTATAAACTCCTCAGTCAGAAATGTGCTTTCTGATTTTACCTCTCCCCCCTCATGCTTTTATATAAATGTGTGTGTGTGTGTGTGTGTGTGTGTGTGTGTGTGTGTGTGTGTGTATTTTCCGTGCTTTTGTTCTGTCGTTACTCAGGTCAGCAAGGACATCCTCTGATGACTTCCTCAGAGTCGAGCACGTTGGCCTCCGTCGAGAAGCTAAGAACACAACTTGTACAAACTCAGGGTGAACTGAGTACTTCAAAGCAAGAGTATGAGGAATTCAAAGAGCTGACCAAGTAAGGGGTCCCTCCACACAAACCGTTTGCCACACCTCCAGCCAGTGGATTTTTAATAAGGAGCCCCTTCTTCTAATATTGATGTATGTCAGCAATTTTAATGTTGACTCCTTTGGACTTAAGATCGTGTATCTGAATGTTAATCATGTTCACTAGCAAGCAACCATGGCCACGGTTTTATGTCTTATCAAATATAAATGGACTGACTAATTTCCAACTATTACTCTAGAGAATAGGCCAGCCTAGTCTTTACAAGTCTGATGAATGCATTAGCAATTGTACTGTTCTTGAATTTAAGATTTTGAACCTTCGTATGGTCCTAAAATGCTATTTATGTAAAAGTGTTATGTTTTTAATTTTAAAAAAATTAAATGTTGAATTTATATGTTAAAATCAACTTGTTTCAATTACTTTCAATCACTTCAAGTATAGAAACTGTAGATTTTCAGACTTGGGACCTAATTCCATTTTGTAAAAAAATTAATCAGCACAGAGCCGATCTTATTTCATTTCTTCTCACCGGTCATATAAACCACAATAAAATAAACACATTAATACTTTGGTGATATATAAACAGGAAGAAGCAGCTGGAACTGGAGTCAGAGCTTCGATCTTTGCGCAAAGCAAACCGGAGCCTGGAAAGCGTCTTAGAGGCCACCAAAGTGTCTAAGCGCCAGCAAGTGTCTCAACTGAATAAGATGCACGCGGAGACGCTGAAGGTAGGGGCAGGGTGAGGAGGGCAGGGGCTGCTAAAGTCAGTGCCTCATCCTAATCCTTTTAAGAATTTACAACCACTCACTGCATGCTTTCATCCCACCCTGGTCAGTGCACCGGCTCTCTCTGCTTGTGTGCATTTCCAGAGACTCAGCTGCCAGCATGGAAGGAAAAGAGGTCCTCAAGGTGGAAAGGCTCTGGAAAGCATGTGGAGTTTGCTGCAATAACTGCTTTTCAAAGTCAAAATATTAGGGGCTTAATATGCAAGATGAACAGGGATATGCCAGGAAATCGAGGAGTTTTGAGCATGGCAACAGGTGGAGGAAGATAGATCTTCAGATTAAGTGGCATGTCTACCGCATCTCTTCAAAAGTTGGTTTTTCAATCAACAAGGATAAGGGCCTGTTTTCTTACATTATGTTAAACTCTTGTTTTTTTTAGTTATTTCTGTTTATGATTGTTTTGGTAACTTTATCTTCTTCCTTTTTATGCATTATTTAATTGAAATTTATGTTCAATATTAAAGTATTATTTCAAACTAATTTTTAATTGTTCCCGAGTAGAATGTTAGCTCCTTCGGGGCAGGCATCGGTTCCTATTTGTCTAAACTCTTGGTGCCCAGCACAGTGGCTGACGACACCTGGTAGGTCCTTGACGAATGCTTTTTGAATCGAAATCAATTCACACCACAAGAAAGTGGCCTTGTTAAAGTCTTTCTAAAATCGGAAGTGTTAAAGATAGCCCTAACATTTTGAATGTGGGAGATGTGAGTGACTAGTATAGACGAGGAAAAAGAAACAACATGAATTGAGTTAAGTCTTGAGCATGTTGAGCTCAGGAGGAAAATCAAGATCACAAGCATCAATGGGCATTGGTCATGTGTAAGAGATGGCCATCGAAGCCATGGGAAGAGAAAAGAAGGGTTAAAGGCAAAGACTTTGGGGACACCCATCCAGAGGGGTCAAGGAGGGGAGATCACCTTAGGAGACCAAGAAGGATTGGTCAGACGGGGGAGGACAAACAGAAGGAAACAGAGACCCTACGACAAAAGGCAGGCTCCTGAAGTGGGTGATGGTTGACAGTGTCACTTCAAAGAGGTCGAGGAGGGGGCAGCTAGGTGGCGTAGTGGATAGAGCACTGGCCCTGAAGTCAGGAGGACCTGAGTTCAAATCCTGCCTCACTTGACCCATACTAGCTGTGTGACCTTGGGTAAGTCACTTAACCCCGATTGCCTCACTAAAAAACAAAACAAAACAAAACAGAGGGTCAAGGAGGAAGAAAAGGTCAGTGATTTTCAAGACTTACCCCACACACTGTCTGTAAATCAAGATTTTTTTCTTAGAGCCTACTCTAGCCCAAGAAATTTAGAGTATGATTTCTTGCCTTCATCTGATGTACCTCACTATGAGACATACATCTTCTCTCTTTACACGGTTTTTAAATAATCATATTAAAATGTACTAATGCTACGTTTCATAATCATTTTTGCAACAGATCATAACTACTCCAACGAAGGCTTATCAGCTTCGGTCTCGATTAGTACCTCGACTAAGTCCTGAAATCTTGAACTTGAGCTCCATGGACACTCAGAACACAAATGACTTGGATGCTGATATATTCAATGAGCCAGTTCCTCCAGAGATGAATGAACAAGCTTGTGAAGCCATTTCTGAGGAGCTCAAAGTGGTTCAGGTAACTTGTTGCCAAAAGAAGGGAAATTAATGCTGTTCTGTGTTTTCCTTTATTTATCTTGAATCTAAGCTGTTTAATTTCCTATAGTATTAAAATTGATTTTGTATTTAAAGATTATCTTAACTATGGTGTAATTAGAGGGTAGTGGTTATACAGTTTCCCATAAAGGGATTGCTTTGGCTCTTAGCTTTAATAAAAACTTAAGTTTTGCTGGTATCTATTTACTTATACTCTAACAACGTGAGTCTAAAATCAATTGCTACAGATACTTTTAGATGTTGTTCCTTCCTGTTCCAGAGAAGGAACTTTCTAGAGAACTCTATAGATTAATCCAAAGTTTTAATTAGTAGTTTTTTAAATTGATGCTTTGCCAAGTTAACAAATGCTGAAAAAGTCAAGCAGTGATCCTGAAACACATTGGAATTTTCCCGCCACAAGGTGGACCTTTGCTTCCATTGGGTTTTTTAGTAGAGTTTTGTGGCGTTTGAGGTTGTGGCTGGCACAACGAAGAAGTATTTATTGATACCATGTGCAGAGCTCCAAGCTGCGCACCAATAGAAAAGGAAGGCTACCCCTGCTCTTGGGGAGCTCACACTCTAATTTGGATGACAGCATGTATAGAAAGCGTCAGCCGAGGGACAGGTAAGAAGCCACAGAGGACCAAGGCCTTGGCTGCCATGTTACATAGCTAGTTGGTCCCTGCGATGATGGTAAAGGGGGAGTGGGCTAAGTGGGATTCTGAGTTTACCTCTGGTGAGGAGGAGCTAGGGGGTGCTGGCAGCATCCAGGCAGAGAGAGCTGAGCAGTGGAGAGTAGGGAGGGAAAGGCTTCCATGTAGTGTTGACCTGTGGGGCCCTTGGGTGTCCCTTTGGGATCTGGGCAGTTCATAGGTATCCCTCCAGGCCTGCTCCTGCCAGTGGTGATAGGAAGGAAGGAAGAAAACAAGCGCTTATTAAGCACCTACTATGTGCCACGTACTGTGCTAAGTGCTTTACAAATATTATCTCATTTGATTCTTAAACAACAGTGAGAAGTAGATGCTGCTATTATCATCCCCATTTTACAGTTGAGGAAACGTGAGGCAGATAGCAGTGTGGTCACATGCCCAGGGTCACCCAGCTAGTAGATGTCTGAGCCTGGATTTGAACTCTGGAGGTTTTCTGACTCCAGGCCCAGTGTTCTGTGCACTGTGATGCCACCTAGCCACCTGATTGTAGTAGTGCTACCATTTGTGATCGCTGTAAAAATACCTTCATCTCTGAGTGGACCTTTTGTCACTTTTTCAGGAACAGCTGACTGTTCTTCAGACAAAGCTGGACGAAGAAGAAAGTAAAAACATGAAGCTTCAGCAGCATATTGACAAATTAGAGCATCATTCCACACAAACACAGGAGGTACAACAGTGTAGAAAATAGATTCTAACATAACAATGTCAAGTAAGAAAAAACATCCTGCCTAACTTAGGTACTAAAGGAGAAAACAAAGAAGTAGACATCTTAAATTTTAAGAGACAAATATCTGACTACTAGAATGAATTCTAACTTACTGCAAATTATCAGATAATACTAATGATTTTTGCCCCCCCCATCTTTTTTCTATAAATATTTCAGACAAGAAAAATGTGAGTCATTGGTAATTCAAATGTAATTAACATCCAGATTTTTTCTTATTACTCAGAAGACCTTAAAACATGACTCTTTAAGTAGTGAATTACCTTAGATGTGGTTTGATATGCCTGTCTTCTCTTTCTTAACTTTGATCCTTTTTTCCAAGCTCTTCTCTTCAGAAAGAACTGATTGGCACAAACAGCAGCAGGACTATCTCGCACAACTGAGTTCCCTTGAAAAACAGCTTCAAGATGCTCACAGCAAGAATGAGTGTGAGTGTCGGTAATTTGGTCTTTTACTTCTTTCTTCCTGTGCTTGCGTCTACAATATCATCGATGTGAGTACTCCCTCCAGTGGCGCAGAGTGTGACCGATCTGTGCTTTCTTGTCCTGTGGCTCATCCACATTATCTTTGGGGTCTTGAAGGGCTTACATCCACGTTGTTGGCAGCCGCCCTTGAACTCTCTTGACATGGCATGGATACCAGGAGAGCAAGTGGGCACTTACTAGTTACTCCTCATTTTCGCTAAAAAGCCATCTCACCCCTTTTGCTATTTATAAATCTCCCTGATAATATCCTTTACACCATTTCTTTGGTGCAGTTCCTTTTTGGTCATGTGTTAGACCCTACCTATTCCTGATGTGCCTCTGCATTGTTCTTTGGGCGATCCAAAGGTTAGTTCTGGGTAACTCCATGACTCACAGCCATACAGCGTCACAGAAAGAAGGTCCATATTTAAAAAAAAAAAAGATGAACCTTTGTTTCAGGGAGAAGCTAGGGATTATTAAAATTTTCCAAATGCAAATCAAACCCACTATCTCTTTTTCATTTCTGAGCCTAGTTAATTTTTCAATTGAATTTTTAAAAAATCATCAAGTGTTTTGTTTTTTCACCTCCTGTCTCTCCCTCCCCATGGAGGGGGGGGGAAAGCCCCACCTTTACAAGAAATGTATGTATCAAACAAAACAAATTCCTATATTGGACACTTCCAGAAATTTGTTTCTCTTTCTACATGTTAGTCCATAGTCTTCATTATGGGTCCTCTGAAATCTTGATCACTGTGTTGGTCAAAGCTCTTAAGTCTACATAATTGTTCATTTTTACAGTGTTGATGTTATAGTATGAATTGTTCTCCTCATTTTGCTCAGTGCACTCTTTATCACTCCATACAAATCTTTCCAGGTTTCACTGAAAGTCTTTTTTCATTTCTTTTTTTTTTTCTTTTTTTTTTTTTTTTTTGGCAATTGGGGTTAAGTGTCTTGCCCAGGGTCACACAGCTAGTAAGTGTCAAGTGTTTGGTCTGAGGCCGGATTTGAACTCAAGTCCTCCTGACTTCAGGGCCGGTGCTCTATCCACTGCACCACCTAGCTGCCCCCCTTTTCATTTCTTAGAGAATAATATTTCATTATATTCATATTGTCATTGTTGTTTAGTCATATCCACCAACTCTTCATGACCCCATTTGGGGTTTTCTTGGCAAAGATACTGGAGTGGTTTGCCATTTCCTTCTCCAGCTCATTTTACAGATAAGAAAATTAAGGCAAACATAATTAAGTGACTCGCCCAGTGTCAAACAGCTAATAAGTGTCTAAGGCTGGATTTGAACTCAGGAACATGAGTCTTCTTGACTACAGGCAGGATGCTCTATCTATTGCACCACCTGGCTGCCCTACAGTCACATACCTTAGATTATTTGGCCATTCTCTAGTTGATGGACATCCCACATCTTTGTCACAAGAAGCTGCTATAAATAATTTTGTACATATAGAACCTTTTCTTCTTTCTTTGAGCTCCTTGGGTCACAGGCCTAGTAGTGGTCTTGCTGCATCAAAGGGTATGCACAATTTAGTAACTCTGGGGACAGTTCCAAACTGCTTACCAGAATAGCCAGACCAGTTCACAATTCCACCAGTGGGCTTCATCATTTCCATTTTTTGTCAACTATCCCATTTTCCATCTATAGTATCTCTGCAAGGTTTTTGCACATCTTGGTCTGGACAGTAGGCATTCTTTTTCAGCTTAAATTTTCCTGTGCAGATAGTTAGACTGAATTCGTTTGTTATGTGGTTGTGGACCTCATTTAGGAGGTACATGGAAGGCCCAGAACTGGTCAAATGTCAGAGTGTATGAGGGGTGGGAGCCAGATTGTGAAGGACGTCACCTGACACCTGCAACAATTCCCAACTGATCCTCGGGGCTCCAGCTTGTCATGGCCATACCAGGCTTCAGAAAAGTCAGCTTATATTGGAGTGGGCAGAGAGGTGAGACTGGAGACCAATTGATTTGGAGTCGGAAGACCTGGGTTTGATTCAGAATTTCATCCATTACTGTGGCTGTGACATTTGTCAGATCCATAACCTCTCTGATCCTCAGTTTCTTCAAGAGAAAGTGATAACAGATGCTTATACTGTGTTCCTCATAGGATTGGTGTTAGGGCCAGATGAGTAATATTGGATGTGTGCTGTTTTCTAATTACCCCATTCCACATCCTCTGTGATCCAGGGATTTTGGCCTCCTTGCTATTTCTCTCCCAAGATAACTCCATCTCCCAATTCCCTCCTTTATCATGTCTAGGCCTCATTTCTAGAACGCTCTCCCTTCTCATTTCTGCCTCTTGACTTCAAGTCTCAGTTCAAATCCAGCTTTGTGTAAGAAACCTTTCCTGATCCCCCTTGATTTCAGTGCCTTCCTTCTGAGCCTGTCCTCAGTTTATGATGTCCGTATCTTATCTGTACGGAGTTGTTTGCTTGTTGCCTCTCCCATCAGACTGTGAGCTTCTGGAGAGCAGGGGCTGTTTTCTATCTTTGTAGTCCCAGTGCTTAGCACAGTGGTACGTAGTAAGTTCTTAGTAAATGCTAATAGAACAGATAGACTTTATCTCTTTAAAAATAAATAGTGTTTACAAAAGAAATCCTACATAAAGTCACAGGCCCAGAAGTAGAGGAAGCGGAATATTTGGAATTGTCAAGTGTACTAGGTTATTAATGGCTTAATTATCCAGTTTCTTGACTTTAAATTCAGCCAATAGAGAAGGTTTTGTTTTGCTTTACTGACATCCTGATTGTGGCATGATGAGTTAAATTTGAGTTCATTTTATTACTTCAAGAATATTCGATTTTCATAGGAGACATATGGATGCTTCCTCTACCAAAGGAAATCAAAAGCCCTTCACATCATAGTAGATGGTAGTAGTTGACACACCTTTGATGAGCCCCTCTGACGTTCTGCTAGTTCTCAGACTATAGGCGTACAGTCAGGCTTGCGTAGGACCTTATGAGCTTATGTTCAACTGGTATTGTCTTGGAGAATCCATTGGTATTTAAAAACTACTCTCTCAGGGATCTCTGCTTTGCCCTGATTCAGGAATCTCTACCTCCTGACTTCCCCTGGTTTCCTTCAAATCCAGCTCAAATCCCACTTTAAGAAGCCTTTTCTCTGAAATTTTCACTTTTTTCTTGTTTGCACATAGTTGTTTACATGTTTTTGTCTATATCCCTAGGACTTAATGAGTGCCTGGCACATAATAAGTGGTAGGCACTTAATAAATGCTGATTCACCATTGACTGTCACATCCATGCCACAGTGTAGCATCAGAATAGATTTTTAGTAGAGGTAAATTCATTTATCTTAACAAAATTAATATTGTTTTTCAGTCATGACAAGTGAAATACATGACCTTCGTATAGTTCTTCAGTCTGCAGACAAGGAGCTGTCTTCAGTGAAATCCGAATACAGGTCATTAAGAGAAAATCAGGAAAAGGAGCTCAGTCAGCTTTCCCAAAGACACATGGATGTACAGCTCCAACTAGATAATGTCAGGTACTGCATTCTTGTTATGGATCGAGTTGCCTGATAATTGGCATGACTGATTATCAGAGTTCATCATATAGATTGTGTATCAAATAGAGTTTTGTCTGTAAAAGACTTGAGCGTTAACTTGGAGTTGTTCATGTCGTGGCGTACTGTCATAAGCAGTGTTTTCTCTGTCTTGTCATTGTCTCTTGCATCCACTCTCTGTCTTTGAAGAAGAAACACAAGTACCAATGCTTTGAGCCATCTTGGGGTGGAAAGATGCCTGGTTTTAGAGTGTGAAGGCCTAGATTTGAGTTGCAGCCCTTGCACTTCCTCCCTGGGTGCCCTTGGGACCTCTGTGAAATGGGGAGACTCTCACTGCCTGACATTGGAATAAGGTGGCCTTGCTGACTTGGCAGACGACTCAGTGTAGATCCAGGAGTGTGTTTCTCATTCATCAAGCTCTTCTTTTTCACCAGCTCTCTTCTAGGTAATGTGCCTGAAAAGTAGAGGCAACGGGAGAGTAGGTACCTTTGGCCTGGAAAGGCAGACTGGAACAGGCTGGGAAGGGCTTTAAGAGCCAAGCAGGGGGAGGTGTGTATTTTATTCTAGAGGCAAAAGGAAGTCACTGGAGCTTCCTGAGCAGGGCATGATGTGGTCAAAGCTGTGCTTTAGGGAAAGATGTCAGTCTGGCAGCTGTGTGGAGGATCCATTGGAAAGTGGAGAAACTGGAAGCATGAAGACCCAGTAAGACTTGGTGTTACAATAATCCATGTGAAAGACCTAAACTAGAGCAGTGATTCTATGAGCAAAGAGAAGGTAAAGGGTGGGAGATGTATTGTGGGGCAGAATTTATTTGTGATCATTTCACATTTTGTTGGATTGGGTTTTTCCCTCCCCTACAGATGCCGCATATGTATAAATTAGCCCTAGTACCTGGCTACCTTCTGTGGCCTTTTATACCCCTTATTCATTGTGCATATTTTGCTTAAAGAAACATAAAGGGAATTTTATTTTGATAACTGTAAATCTTAGGCTTATCACTGAGTGAAACAGGTCTGATTTTTTTTAAGAGATATAACAGTTATGTTTAGTTTATTTCCACCACAGTGGATTTAATACACTTAGAGCAAAATTTGCTTCACTTTTTAAAGTAGGTCCTATTCACTGTTAGAGGCCTATTGTAAATCAGTGTGTTCCCATATAACTCAAATCAAAGCATTCTTATGATGATGCTCACCTGGAAATCCAATAGAACCTGAAAAAAGTGTTCACACACAACAAACCAGTGAGGTAGAAAGTGTAAGTTTTATCCCCATTTTACAGTTTGGGAAACATGCTGAGAGGTTAGACAATGTGCACCAATTTACTCAGTGAGTATCTGTCAGAGGTGGAACTCCTCAAACCAAAGTGTCCTGGCTCTCAGTCCTGTACAATTTTAGTATGAAAAAATGTATATAATCGCCACTATCCATAAACTGAAGAATCGTGAAGATTCCTTGGAGTTTTCTAATATTTAAAGACAGCACCAACCACCACCATCCTTTCTTCCTTGCACGTACTGCATTTGATGTCAGAGGCCCTGGGATGCATCCTGGCTCTGTCACCTAATATACCAGTGGGAGCTTGGCTCTATAAAAGACTCTGAAAGGGTTGGACTAAGCCAGTCAGCTATTCAGGTCCTTTCCTACTCTGTATCCGGCAGGGTAAAAAGCATGCAGAATTTGGAAGACCTGTATCTGAATGAGTGCTCACTTTGCCACTTCCTGCTGGAGTGGCCTTGGGGCAAGCCACTTACCTCTCTGGGCCTCGGTTTCCTCTTCTGTAAAATGAGGATCAGTGGACCTCCAAGGTCCTTACAAATTCTAAGTCTGTGATCTGTGACCTATGACTTCTGTTCCGTATTATCAGCCTAAATGCAGATGGGTTCTCCTTTAAGAGGGCATTGGATGCTGGAGCTTTCTCTTAGGTTTAAATCAGACAAACATTGTATTAATGATTTTGATTAAGTATCACCTATCTTCTTGCTGTAATTCTTAAGCAGAGTATACAACCATAATTTAAAGCAACCTTTGCTTGATAACTCAGGATCATATTATGAAAATCAGTTGTGATACCATGCCATAACACAGCAATATCCTCACAGCCTATTGAGATTTGCAAGCTTCTTTGCTCCTATGTTAAATGACCCCATAGCATTGTGCTTTTTGAAATGGCGTCAGCTTTTTTTTGGTCTGCTTTGTTTTGGAATTTTTTCATCACCATCTCTATCTGTCAGTTGTCGCTTCATGCTGTTGTCAATGTGTTTTTCTTTAGCGAACTCTCCTTTTTTTACTTTCTAATGTTCATTGTTAGAATAAATCAGAAAAAAAAATCAAACCACAGCCTTATTAGAAATATATCAGAAGAAAGTAAATCCAAGTAGGTTCTAAATGAAGAAGCGAAGGGCTCTGTGGTGGAAAAGTGTGTAGACTTTTGGGATTTTATCTTGGTTGGTCAAAGGCTGTTTTAAGCTAAGGGAATTCTAGATAAGTGAGTAAATGAAACCATTGTTCCAGTATATTAATTTTGAGTGACAAAAAATCTTTTGTTTCACCTAGGACTCTCTTTTATGTAGTGAGAGTATGCTTAATGATTTAATTTTAAAAACAGAATTTTTTTTTTTTTTTTTTTTTACAAACCTAGTTATTTTGTAAAGCAAGTCCTACCTGTCAATGAAACCACACTGGAGATTGCCTGGGAGGTAGTGAAGAAGCTGGCTTTCTCAGCTAACCTCCTTGGTAATCCTCTTCCTGGGATGCAGTGGAAACAGCTTTCTCTCAAAATGAGTCAAGCTCTGTCCTCTCAAATCTTCCTGGTACAGAGTAATTGGGTGGAGTTGAGATAGTTTTAAAATTATAATTCAAATGAAATTATTAGGTGCCTTCCAACTTGAATTGTGTTTGCTGTGGAGCAATTAAATTGCAAATAATACACTCCTAAATAATCTGAGTAACTAAGATACATCGAATGTCCCTATTTAACATTGTCAAAATATTTTCACAATGAAGACTAGAGCATGAGAAGGTGCTTGAAACCAAAGCCTGCCTGCAGGACTCCTACGATAACCTCCAGGAAGTCCTGAAGTTTGAGACGGATCAGCTTTCCAAGGAGCTCCAGGACAGCCAAGAAGCAAATGAAACTCTGCAAGCCGAACTCAGCGTAAGGCTTGTGCTTTTGTTTTTCGTTATGGCCTCTGATGGCGGGATCACAATCTCTAATGCTCAGCCCCATTCACACTCCTCCCTTGTCCTTGAATGGTATTGCCAGTTTAGCCTTTAGACTAACTTGACAACTAGTTATCCCGACTGTGGTTGATGTGAATGGACACATAAACTCTTCAAATGCCCTCATTAACCGAAGAGTGTTTTTAAAGTTAAGTCTCGTCAACTTACAGTGTTAACTGAAGCGTCCCCTCCAAAATGTTCGAAGCTGAAGCCTTGCCTTGTGCTAAGGTTCTTAAGGGTAAATCATCTTAGAGATCTCTTCTAGACACTAGTGATGGTTGTAGTTACTATATTTTGATGACTTAGGGGTCATTATGCGTTGCCATACACACAAATGCCATGGTTTTATTTTTTGGTGGTTTTTGTTTGTTTGTTTTTAAACTAAATTCTCACACCAAATGTAAATTCTGTGTAAAATTGCCTTGGGGGACTTGGAGAATGAATAGAACTGTTACTGTGTGTATGAATAAGTATGGCATACATAGGAAAAGATTTGCCAAGTTGTATTGTATATTTTTAACTGCCATTGTGAAGGTAAGATGATGACTGAGTTGAAAATGGACTTAAGATGGCCTTCTAAGTAAGGTTCTCATGTGCTGATTTCTTGCTCTGTCATCCTTGAAGAGCTTGAATGGATGATGGTTTCAAGGAAAGGAAAACATCGTGCACACATGCATTGTCTTTGTTATGTCTTCATGTTTACAGGGGTTAGACTTGTCTGTTAATAACTATAATTTAACAAATGTTTACTAGGGATGTAGTGTGTGTGTCAGGCCCTGGGGGTGCAAAGATTGAAATGAGATAGACCTTGCCCTAAAAGACCTGAGGGTCTGTTGATAGTAAATCCATGAAGGATTAAAATACAAACTATATACAAGGTGGTTTCCTAAAGGAAAGCACTGGTGCCTTTGGGTCTTGGAATAGACTTCCTATAGGCAGTAGCACTTTAGATGAGCTTTGAAGGAATTCTGGGGTTCTAAGTGGAGGGGAGGAGGAAATGCATTCCGCGCATTGGGATTAGCCAGCGTGAAGGCTCAGAGGCAGAAGATGGAATATTTGGTCGTGTACTGCCCAAAAGCCTATTTAATTCTAACATGGAGAATGTGAAGGGGAGCTTGAAAAAGTGGCTGGAGCCAGCTGATTTAGGGCTTTAAAAGCCAAACAGGAGTTTCTCATTTGTCCTAGAAACACTGTGGAGCCCTGAGAGCTTCTTGAGCCGCAGGGTCAGAGTTGTGCATTGGGAATATCAGTTTGACAGTTGTGTGAAGCACAGTGGATTGAGGAAGGGAGAGCTGAAAGGCAAATGGAGACACAGATGAGCCTTAGCAGCTGATTAGATAGGAGAGTTAAGTCAAGTCCTGCTCCAAAGTCACAGGCTTGGGTGACTGGGAAGGTGGTGCCTTCAACGAAAATAGGACAGTTAAGAAGGGGGGCAGTTTTGTTGGAGAAGATAATGAGTTCTGCTTTGGTCATGGTGCGTTTGAGATGCCTTCGGAACTTCAGTTGGAGGTGTCCAATAGGCGGTCGATGCTACAAGACTGAATTTAGGAGAGACTGTAGCTGGCTGTATAGATCTCAATTTAAGTTACTGAAATTTCCTTGAACTGAGAGACTAGATTTCATGCAACATGTGACTGTTTTGGTCATTTGGTCAAGCTAGGATATATCCTAGCTTGAAAACCTTCAGTGGCCCCCATGGCTTAGACACCACCCATGGTGACAGTTTTGGGCCTCCACTCTCAGGCCAGCTCACCCCCACCTGGAACTTTATTTTCCAAAGCTTCTTTCAGCAGCAGCCAGACTATTTTACTCATTGTTTCTCAAATGGGGCATAGTGTTGCCCACACAAATCTTCTTCCTAAGTGGAAGTCCTTTCTTCCCCCCTTCCACCACATACCTGAATCCCTCCCCTGTGTTCAATGCCAATCTGAAGTCCCCGTCATTAAAAAATATCTTCTATCTGTTTTCCTCCTTGTCTAACATAGTTTTACTTTGTACATAATAGGCGCCAGAAAATGCAGATTAATTGAATAGGTGTTATTGGTGTTAGGATGCCTATAATTAAACTTTACAAATTGCGTCCTTTAGAATGTGTTGGAGCTTTTAGAAACAGAAAAAGAACGTAATAACAAGTTGATATCACAGTTAGAAGAAGACAAAGAAAATAATTCCAAGTGAGTACTGTTAAGTATTTTTTCTTCAGAATTATAGAATATTTTAAATTTAATACCTTTATTAAATTTTTATTGCTGATATTACATTGCAAACAATAACTTTTTAAAAGTTTTCCAAATAAATACTAGGTCCTTTTTGTTAAACATTTAAAGTTTGAATAAACTTAATTTGTTAAATATTTGCCATTTAGTCATTGTTGTTAACTTTTGTTAAAAAGAAATTAAAAATTAAAAACCATAACCAGGATAAATAATTAGCTTTCAAGTATTCTGAGCTTCTCTAAAATAACCAAAATTGAATTTTAGGAAATTAAAAACAATTGTTATTAAAATATCTGTCTCTAACCCCACATCTTTATATGACCTGATATAAATTATATCATATTATATTAATGGGGATATAACTTAAAATTAGCCCTTTAAGTCTTGATTGCTTAGATCCATAGAATATTTGTTGGAAGTGAGTCGCCTGTGAAATATATTTCTTCTCTTTCAGGAAGTTCTTAGACGTTCTTGATTCAGTACAACAGGAGAAACAGAAAGGGATTGCTAAGTGTGAGCTGCAGGTAACTAGCGTATTGCACCAATATTGGCAGTTTTGTAGTTCTTAATAGGTTTATTGGGAGGGCATTTTAGAAGTTTGGAAATAAGATTTCTAGTCATTTGTTCTACTTTATTAAATTAGCTTCCTACCTTCAGTGATTGAGAGATATTGTGTAATGTGTAGCGGTGGTCTCTTAGATGGAATCCCCTCTGTGCACATTTGTCTGATCACAGCTGGATCTCTGAACCCACATTCATTGTTTTATTTTCAGTTAACTTTGTAAATAGATCTGGGTTCTAGAAAGTATCGTTTGTACTTTTGAAATAGAATACAGTTATGATGCTGTGTCTCCATGAGGAAGATTTAAATTCTGAGAAGAACCTAGCTTTTCTCCCTTACTCCCCAGACAGCAAAAATAGAGAAACTGGAACAGAGCTTGTCGGCGGCTGAGAAGACCATCGCCTCTCTGGAAAAGACTAAGGCTGCTGACCAGGTAAGAAGGCGGAAGGTTTTCTTACTCCATGAAAGTTGAAGGTGAATTTGTGTCCTGATGAAACGCAAACCAGGGCCCCGTTTCCTCTTTTTCTAAAGTTTGACAAGTATTGAAACACTGCTGCTTCATTTAGTGTTCAGTAAAATAGGGACGTGGAGTGGTTTTAGAAGGGGGTGGAAGGGATCCAGTGTCTTCTGTCTACTGATCATGTCGAATACCCCAGTTTTTGCTTGTCCTCTACCCCATCAGACTGTGAGCGTCTCAAGGATGGGAACTATCTTTTGCCTCTTTGCATCCCCAAGCGCTTAGCACAGCACCTGGCACATAGTAGGCAGTTAATACATGTTTGTTGACTATGGCACTTCATATGCTGCTAATAATGAGGATGTGATACTTTCCCTGACTTTTGAAGTGTTGAATGGCTGCAGTTTAGTAGCTAAGAAACCAAAACAGAGAAGGAAAAAAAAGCATAGACCAAAGAGCCTGGTAACACATACATATGTACTTGTCAACCCTGCTAAAACATGCGCTGCTTGGGAGTAAGAATTATTTTATTTATTGTATTTGTATCCCCTGGGCCTGACAGATAACAGGCACTTCATAAATGGTTGTTGATTAATTAATTGACAGAAGAAAATATTCTATATTCTGTGTCTCCTGGAAACTGCCACCCTAGGTGTTGTGTTTTGAGGCCTGAGAGTAGTCAGTTTCCCAAGCAGCCCCTGCGGGTCATATGGCTTTACTCCTTTAAGCCAGTTTCATTGTTGTTGTGAGATCCCAGGGAGACTGAAGGAGGAGGCAGTTTCCAAGGTAAGCTGCTCTCTTTACGTCCAAGGATCAGCCTCTTGAATTGTACTAATGATTAAGTTGTCAATGAGAGAAGTGGACAAATGCACTGGTTTTGGTGGTTGGGTAAGCTCTCCTAGTCTGTACGGTCTCTTGTGTCTAAGGAACTTCTATGAAACTTTACAGATCCCTTGGTACGCAGCAGGGCACAATGTTGTGGAGCATAAGTGAGGTATAGATTAGAGCTGTCTCCTTTTAAATGAAAATGGACAGGCAAACCAGAACTAGGAGTTTCTGGTCATTGCCATTAACAAATAATGATGAATTCATTTTCATAAAATGATATTTTTCTGTCCTTTTTAGGAAGCGGTAACTGATCTCATGAGTCAGATCCAGGACCTGAAAGCATCTGTTAGTCAGAAAAATGGAAGTATAGACATGTTAACAAGAGAACTAGAGGACATAACAGTAAGTTCTATTAGTAACAAGATATTATCATTATGTAAAGTTGGATTGGATGCATAGAAAATTGCCACTTATTATTTTCCATTATTTCCCTTATATTTCTTTGGTAGTTTTATAACATCATTCATTCTTATAGACTACAGGCAGCCTCTGTCCGGAGCAGTCTTCTCATCCTCTGCATTTCTTGCCTGTGTCTTAACCAAAACTTTTTATCTGTGGTTAACAATTAAACTTCACAAAGATCTGTAATTAAGATTAGGATTATCATATTATGTGTCTCAAACAAGTAAGCTAGGAGAAAGCTATAGCCATAGCCAGCATATGGTAAAAATGAGAACCGGCCCCATTGGGGGGCATGTAAATGGTATATAAGATAAAATAGACAAGATAACAGTATGTAGGTATTGGCATTTAAGTACAGTAAAAGCCCTCATTTGTAATCTGATCTCAGGAAAAGTTTACACCTGTACTGGCCTCGTATTTCCTCTCTGTTGACTCTTCAGGGGGTCTCTTTGTACCTGTGATGACTCGTATCACATTGCCCACTTGCCTTCAATACAGAATGTCCCATTCTCTCACCACCTGTCTGGGAATTGTAAAGCTTTCTCTGTTTTCTAGATGTATGGTAATCTAATGTCATCAGGCTGGGGTTTTATTGCGTGCTAAAATAACATTTTAATTTGCATTGTGTTCAAATAAATAGATTTTCTGATCATAACATTGTGTTCTTCAGTGCAAATACAACTCTACCTTGGCTGAAAAAGATGACTGTAAGGCAGATTTAAGGAAACAAGAAGAAGAGATTATGGAACTGAAACAAGCCCTTAATTTGAGAAAATTGTCTGATGATATGGAGGTAAATTGTTGTATGTTGTGTTTGGTTGCATGGGAATTGAGTACCTTGACGGTTAATTTATAATCTTAAACAAGAGAAGCAAGATGTCCTAGTGAGCAAAGATCTGGCCTCGGAGTCAGGAAGACCCGGTCTCTTCTTGCACACTTAATTGTGTGGCTCTAGACCAGTGGTTCCCACAGTTGGGGGGGGGGGGCCTCGATGAACTGCTCCGGGGGAGCGGTGGTAGCCTCAGGTACAGTTGTACACTTAATCTGAGACCTCTTTCCTAGTTTGTAAGGTTTCCAGGGAGGCGCTGAGTGATTGTTTTAAAGGGGCAGTAGGCCAAATAAGCTTGGGAACCTCTGTTCTAGACTGAGTTTGGAGGATAAACAAAAAGGAGTCTCAAAGAGGACTTTTTAAGTTCTCAAGTTTTTATGACTGGATAAGTAGCTATGTTATTGCTGGAAATGGGGAAATAAGGATAACTGGATTGGAAGAGGGAAATAAATAATTTAGCTTTTGTTGTTTAATTGTCTTTTGATAGGTTATCTGAATGAATATATGCTATAGGCAGCGGAAAACATGAATTGGAAATTAGGACAAGAGGTTAGGCTAGAGATGTAGATTTAGGGAAATGTTTGATAAAGGTGGTAGATAGAGAAAGCCAAAACCTGTTAGGGGAGAAGAGTCTACTAAGAGCTAGAAGTGACAGAGCCATGACAGTCATAGGCCCAGGAGGAAAGAGTTTCATGGAGAGAGTGATCAGAGCTTTAAGATTTGCAAAGGGCTTTCTGTCATTTAATCCCATAATGACTCTCTGAGGGTGATGCTGTTATTATCCCCCTTTTACAGATGAGGAAACTGAGGCAGAGAGAGGCCTGTGCCTTGCTCAGGGTTGCACATCAAGTGAGTGTCTGAGGCCAGATTTGAACTAGGTCGTCCTGCCTGGAGCACTCCATGCCCTACAATCACCTAAGACTTAGATTTGACTAGAAGGAGGCCATGATTGGCATTAGGTAAATTTCAGTGTCGTGGTGAGGTCAAAAACCGGAGGGCAAGTAGTTTTAAGGAGGCAGTAAGGAAAGAGAGTATGTATAAATCACTCAAGGAATTTGGCCAAGGACTCAGGACTGTTGTGTCAGACTTACAGGAGGGCAGATGTTGATAAATGGAAAGCAAATGGAGACTGAGTGCTTGGAGAGTTGGAAGAGGTGGCACCAGGATCAAATAAGGATTGGTGACTTGGGGGAGAGGGGGTATTTTGGTTTGTGGAGTAGGATTGACAAAGAAGAGGGAAAGTGACCTATATGTACAAAAATATTTTTGTGGTGGCAAAGAATTGGAAACCAAAAGGACGCCCATCAATTGAGGAACGGCTGAACAAGTTGTGGTATATGGTTCTGGTGGAATGCTGTTGTTCCATAAGAAATGACAAGGGGGGTGGTTTCAGAAAAACCTGGAAAGACTCGTGATCTGATGCAAAGTGGAGTGAGCAGAGCCAGGAGAACATTGCACATGATAACAGCAGTAGTGTAATGATAATCAACTGTGGAAGACTTAGCCACTCTGATCAAGGCAATGATTGGAGGCGATTCCAAAAGGATCCATTCTTTTTTCACTCTGTCTCTTTCTTTTTCTTGTTTATTTAGGGGGAGGGGTTGTTTTTTGTTTGTTTTTTCAACATGACTAATATGGAAATTTTTTATAAAGAGTAGTATTGATTTTTCATAAGAATTTTTTAAAAAAGCAGCATTCTTCCCTTAGGCTTCCTGGAATCTATACTAGTTTCTGAGTTGCCTTGAAGTCATCTTCAGGTCCTTATCTCTGGCATAGCTGCTAATTGCGTTCTATTCTGTCATATCCTTTTTCTTCTGATTTTTTTATTTCTGGAATTTTTGTTATTTTCTTTTTAAACTCAAATAACATAAAAGAGATAGCCTGGTAAAAAGAGCACTGCATTCAATCAGAGCAACTGAGGTCTAGCCCTGGTTATGCTTTTCATTAACCCTATGACCTTGAACAAGTAACTTCTCTTCAGACCTCAATTTCTCCATGAGTAAACTGAGAGGCTAGGATAGATGATACCTTAATTCTAAACTCTATGCTCTACAGCTGAGGACACTCTAGAAATGAATCACTTGAGGGTGAGCTCTTGAAGACGGGGACCTTGTTTTTGGCTCATTTTGTAACCTCAACTCTTAGCACGGTGCCATGCCTATAGTAAGCATTTACTCCATACATATTGACTGTCTGAAATGCCTTAAGTAATGCCAAGAAAATGAAAATGTTTCTTGATTTTAGTTAGGAGAGGGTTGTACTGGATTTAAGTAAGCACTCCTGTACTACCTCAGACCTGATTTGAAACTTGGCTTTTTGGACCCAGGGTTCCAGAGCAGGCTGCATTTCAGAAGGCAATTTGACCTCACTAGGTGGGTTCACGCCTCCTCACAGAAGGAGAAAAGCCCCAAATTAAGTGCCGCCCACTCCTTTTGGAGTTCAAGTTCCTGTCAGAGCCCTCAATCACATTTTTTTTTTTAAAGGAGAGCTTTAAAAAGTGAGAAAGCATAGGAACAGCTGGTGACATCACTTGGACTACCCCAGGTGCTCCTTGTCCTGCCACTGCTTCTCCAGTCATTAACCTGCAAGAATTAGGCATTCCTTCTCTTCTCCGTTAGCTGGGGTTTGGTTTTGTGACTGCTGACTTTAAAACTTTTTTGAAAGTTGATATTAAATTTTTTTTAAAAAAGAAACTGAATGCTGTGTAATTATATTAACCAATCTTGTCTATGAGGAAGAGATGAGAAAATATGCCCTCTCCTCCTTTGCACAGATACAGGACTATGGATATGGGACATTGTATATACTGCCAGCCTCAATCTATGTATTGTTTAGTTTTTCCTCTTTCTTTTTTTTCTCCATTACATGGGGTAGCAGTCTGACAAGGGAAGTTGGAAGGGATGTATTAAGAAATAAAATGGTTTTTAAATGAAAGACTGCAATTAAAAATTAAAGAAAAATTTAAGGTGATATTTAGTTTTAGCTTTTTTGAATTGAATATATAAATTAACGATTACTGAATCCTTGTCATGTTAGCATAAATAACATTGAATTTTTTCTTTGGGGTTGGGGGCTGTTATATTCTAACAGAGAGACATGTTGTGTGAAGATCTGATTCACACCACTGACCAGCTAAACAAATTAACAGAGGCCTCTAAGAAGCATTCTGTGTTGCTTCAGTCTGCCCAGGAAGAGCTTGCCAAGAAAGAAGCTTTCATTCAAGAACTTCAGGAACAGGTAGACTTAGATGAGGCTGTCGCTATAAGAATTTAAAATGAACTAATAATTTAAATTTGGCTAATCCACATAAGCCTCAGGGACATGCTAGTCTTTTAGATAATTTGCAGAAGATTATTAAATGAAATTGGAAAATGTTGAATTTTGAATCTTTGGGAACATGGCTGTCTTCTAATATAAAGACAACTTTGTTCTCGCTAATAATAGGTTATTAGAAATGCGTCAGATACCTCAATGAGTAGATAAAAGGTTTAGTGGATGTAACAAGGTTAAGGGATAAAAACATAATTTCAACTAACAACATGATTAGAATAAGCCATGTGGTAGGAGCAGTAACTCTACTAAGATTTTGGACTTTTGAGGGAAAATGTGTGGGGTGTTTGATATTTTGTTCTATTTCAAATTGTGAAATGTTCAAACCAGAAGAATTCTCACATCCTCTGAAAAGCTTGCATTTTCTTTGTGGACACGAATCCTGTATTATTTTCAAAGTTAATATTTTATTTTGTTTTCATAGCTAAACCAAAAAGTTAAAGAATTGGAACAGAAGAAGAATGCATATAGTTTGAAAATGAGACACCTGGAATGTGTGATGGATTCTGCTTCTGTATTTCCACAGGTACTTTTAGAACAACAGTTCTATTTCCAAGCAGAGATACCAGCTTCAGACATATCAAAAGTGCCCGTTTGAAAATTATAGTTAGAAAAGATCGTTTTAAATTATTTACATACAATTAAGAGACAGTACAGAGGCAACCTCAGTATGGAATCCTGTTTCCTGACAGTCAGCTATGTGCTGTTGGGAAAGTCATTTAACCTCCCTCTCACCCTCAGTTTCTTCATCTATAAAATGAGAATAGTAATACCTGTAAAACTTGCCTTGCAGAGTTGATATGAGGCTCAAATGAAATAATGTTTATAAAATGTTTTGCAAACTTTGAAACAGCATATATCATTAGTAATGGAGGTATTTTTTCTGTGTGTGTCTTTTGGCTAATAGAACAAACTCTTTAGATTTTTAAGGGGAAGACAATAACCAATAAGCATTTTCAGATATGTGGTGCTAGTGCAGTTAAAATCAAATTTTTGTTCAAATCACTAAAATTAAGAATGAAAAATCTACTATATCTTGCAGAGTCCTAAAACTCCACCTAATTTTCAAGCAAATCTAGCAAAGCTCCTAGAAACACAAGAACAAGAAATAGAAGACAGAAGAGCTTCCACAATCTCCTTACAGCATCTTGTAACAAAATTGAATGAAGAAAGAGACATCAAAAACATTGAAATCCTTAGAATGAAGGTACTTGTCCTTTCCTGTTAAACAGCACATGGGCCATTCATGGAGGGCGGAAGAACAACTTGGTTTTCTATAGTGCTTCATATTTACAACCCTGTGAGGGAGGAAGTTTGAGTATCACCCCAAGAAGGTGATGGTGCTCTTCCCGTGTCAAGAATGGGGTGCTGATTGTATCGACTATTATGAAGAAGAGAACTCAGAAGGAGCCTTATGATTGGGAAATGTGGAGGTCTCCAGTCACTCTGCAGAGGGCAGTTTCCATAAAACAATGGAGGCAAAAGCCAGATTGCAAAAAGTTGAGTGGGTAGTGAATTAGGAAAGTCTGAATGCCAGCTCCAGGGGCTAACTGGATCAAGAGAAAAGGTTTGTTTTTAGAATATTGGAGACCTGAGCATCCTTGTAGGCAAGGGACTAGAAGAGACTAAAGATGTGGGTGGGGCCTGGTTGTGGTTGTTTGAATGAGATGCCAAAGGGAGGCAGTTGGAGCAAGGATTTTAGCATTGGCAAGGAGGAGACCCACTGGAGTCAGGGAAAGAGGCAAGCCTGGGAACAGGCCTAAAGTTTGAAGACAGCGAAGAGGGGAGTTGGGGGAGCTTGCACTAGATGCTTCTTTTGATAAAATGGGCAAGATCATCTAGTAAGAGAGAAGATCTTACAAGGTCTGGAATAAAAATTTTAGAGGATTATTGAGCAGTGACAAATGCCTAGGTTATATGCGTTTGCTGGGTGTACACACGGTTCTTTGGCTTCCTCTAGCAGTCCAGTAGCATTCTGCTTGTCAGAATTAAAAGTGAAAAAGATTATTGGGCTATCAACAATGAAATATTCTTAGGAAATGAAAATACATCCAGAGTGGTAGCTCTTCATGGTATTAATGGTCTGCGCTATAAAATCTGTCATATTTGGGCGCCCCTTAAGAATTGAGGATGGAGGGGCAGCTAGGTGGCACAATGGATAGAGTACCGGCCGTGGAGTCAGGAGAACCTGACTTCAAATGCGGCCTCAGACACTTGACACGTACTAGCTGTGTGACCCTGGGCAAGTCACCTAACCCCATCACCTAGCCAAAAAAACAAAAAAAAAAGGATTGAGGATGGGGTGAAGGTGATAGGTTTGAGAAAACGTAGAATACCACAAACACTTTTTGTTATTTTTTTTGGTTCCATGAACATTTATTAAGTGCCTCCTGTGTTACTAATTAATTTTTATCAGATGTTCCTATAAACAGAAGTAAAAATCTGTGCTGAAAGGCATGGTTCTTTTTATTATTATTTATTTCTTTTTGAATTTTGTGTTCCAAGCTCTCTCCCTCCCTCCCACTCCCTCCTCATCCACTGAGATGACAGCAGTATGATACCAGTTACACACTGAAGTCATGCATAACATACTTCCAAAAAAAAGCAAGGAAACTTTTGTAAGTGATCAGAGTATACTTCGGTTTGCGCTCAGAGTTCATCAGTTTTCTCTCTGGAGGGGGATGGCATTTTTCCCTCGTGAAGCCTTTGGAATTGTCTCGTATCACTGTACTGATCAGAACAGCCAAGCCTTTCACAGTTGATCACCATTAGGACATTGCTGTCATTGTGCACAATGATATCCTAGTTCTTCTCACTTCACTTTTTGCATCAGTTCATACAGGTCGTGCCATATTTTTCTATAACCACCTCCCTCTTCATTTCTTATGAAGCATAATAGTACTCCATCACAGTCATATGCTACAGCTTATTCAGCCACTCCCCAATTGATTCTCCTGCTCTTGATTACCAATTTTTTGCCACCACAAAAAGAGCTGCTGTAAATATTTTTGTATGTATAGGTCCTTCTCCTTTTTCTTTAATCTCTTTGGGATACAGATAGTCATAGTATTGCTGGGTCAAAAGGTCAAAAAGGTATTTACAGTTTTATAGCCCTTTGGGCGTGGTTCCAAATTGTCTCCAGAATGGTTGACCTAGTTCACTATTCCACCACCAGTTCATAAGTGTACCTATTTCCCCTCATCCCCTCCAACATTTGTCATTTCTAATAGGTGTGAGGTGATGCCTCAAAGTTTTTTTACTTTGCCTTTAATCAATAGTGACTTAGAGCATATAGAGAGTTTTGATTTCTTCTTCCGAAAACCACCTGTTTGTATCCTTTGATCATTTATCAGTTGGGGCATGGCTCTTATTTTTATGAATTTAACTCAGTTGTATACTCAGTATATGTCTGAGAAATGAGGTCTTTATCAGAGAAACATGCTATAAAAAAATTTTTAATATTACTTCACTGTCTATGGTACCTTTTAACAAAACGTAGTTTCCCTGATTATCTCTTTTAATTAAGTCTCTTTTTACTTTTGCTTTGTCTGAGATTATGTTTGCTACCCCTGCCTTTTTTTTTTTTTTTTACTTCAGCTGAAGCTTATTAGCTTCTACTCCAGCCCTTTATTTTAACTCTCTATGTGTCTTTGTGTTTCAAGTGTCTTCATTGTTGGATTCTGGTTTCTGATCCATTATTCTATCAGTTTCTGTTTTATGAGTGAGCTCATCACATTCATATTTACAGTTATGATTACTGTATATTTCCATCTATCCCATTCCCTCTATCCCAGACAAATCCTTTGTTTCTTCTTCTTTCTTTCTCTTTATCCTGTCCCTCCTCAAAAGACTATTTTGTTTCTAACCACTGCCTCCCTTAATCCAACCTCGCTTTTATCATCCCCTACTCCTTTCTCTTATCCCCTTCCCCTCCTTTTTCCCTGTTGAACAAGTTACATTTCTATACACAATCCTGTGCGAGAGAGTGTGTGTGTGTGGTGTATGTATAGTGTTTTCCCTCTTTGAACCAATTCTAATGAAAGTGAGGTTTAAGCATTGCCTGCCACCACTACCACCACACCCCCATTCTTCCCTCTATTGTAAAAGCTCTTCCTTGAATCCCTCTTTTACCTGAGATTTTCCCCGTTCTACCTCTCCCTTCCCCCTTCTCCCAGTACATCACTCTTTTCATTCCAACATAATCAGCTCATACCCATGCCCTCTGTCTATGTACACTCCCTTTAACTGCCCTAATAATGATAAAATTCTTAGGAGTTACATTTATTATATTCCCATGTAAGAATGTGAACAGTTTAACTTTATTGACTCTCTTATGATTACTCTTTCATGTTTACATTTTTATGCTTCTCTTGAGTCTTCTATTTGAATGTCAGATTTTCTCTTCAGCTCTGGTCTTTTTACCAGGAATGCTTTGAAGTCCTCTATTCCATTAAATACTTATTTTTTTTCCTCTGAAGGATTATATTTAGTTTTGCTGGTAAGTTATTCTTGGTTCTAATCTTAGCACTTTTACCTCCCAGAATATATTCTAAACCCTCTGCTTCTTTAACATGGAAGCTGCTAAATCTAGTGTGATCCTGACTGTGGCTCCATACCATTTGAATTGTTCCTTTCAGGCTGCTTGAAGTATTTTCTCTTTGACCTGGGAGCTCTGGAATTTGGCTATAGTATTCCTGGGAATTTTCATTTGGGGATCTCTTTCAGGAAGTGATTAGTGGATTCCTTCAATTTCTATTCTACCCTCTAAGATATTGTGGTAGTTTTCCTTGATAATTTCTCAAAATATGATGTCTAGGCTCTTTCTTTGGTCACAGCTTTCCGGTAGTCCAATAATTCTTAAATTATCTCTCCTTGATTTTTTTTCCATGTCAGTTGTTTTTCGGATGAGATATTTCACGTTTTTTTTCTAATTTTTCAGTCTTTTGACTGTTTTATTGTTTCTTGATGTCTCATAGAATTACTAGTTTCCACTTGCCCAAATCTGATTTTTAAGGAATTATTTTCTTCAGTGAATTTTTGTACCTCCTTTTCCATTTGACCTATTCTGCTTTTTAGAGTTCTTTTCTTTGTTGAATTTTTATGCCTCTTTTGCCATTAGGTTAGTTTTTTGTTTTTGAAGGTATTTTTTTTCAGTGTCTTTTTGTGCCTCTTTTACCAAGCTGTTAATTCTCTTAAGTTTCTTGCATTCCTCATTCTTTTTCCCAACTTTTCCTCTATCACTCTTAGCCTTTTCTTTAACTCTTCCAGGAATTCTTGTTGGGCTTGGGCCAATTAGCAATTTTCTTTGAGATTTTTTTGTAGCTGTTTTCACACTGTTGTCTTCTAAGTTTATATCTTGGTCTTCCCTGCCACCATAGTAACTTTTTATGGTCAAATTCTTTCTAAATTACTTGCTCATTTTCCAGCCTGTTTCCTGATTTGGAACTTTATAAAGTTGGGCTCTGCTTGTTGTTGTTGCTCTTGTTGGGGGACAGGAGACATTGTCCCAAGTGTCAGGCTTTTTCGTGCTGCTGTTTTCAAAGTTTGTTCTAGAGTTCTACAAGTTTTTGGTGCTTCCAAGACGGTGTGATCCTGGGAGAGGTGTGGTCACTGCTCTTCTGTTCTGTGCTGACCTTTACCAAGGAAGGGCCCCTAGTCTCCTGTGGCTGCACACGCTAGTGCTTCTCTTAGCTTTGGCATTGTAACCAGAACCCCTGCAACCTGGAAGTGCATATGGACAATAGTTACCAATCAATGCCAGTTGTTCCCAGTGCCAGCAAATGATCCCTGTAATCTCTTTCTGATCAGTCCTCCAACCCTCTACTGTCTCTGGGCCGAGAGCTTCTGAAGCTGCTGCTGCTGCTGGCAGCAGCAGCAGCCACGTGAGTAAGCTTTGGACAGACCTCCACCCAAGTGTTACAGACTTCCCTTACCTGCCTACCTCTTAAGTTTTCTCAGGCCATGAAAATATTTCACCCCAACTTTTTGTTGGCTCTTCCACTCAAAATTTGATTTGAGGCATTATTTTAAAGTTATTTGAAGGTCAGTGTTGGGAGAGTTCTCCTGGGTGGCTACACCTAACATGCCATCTTGGCTCCCCCTGAAAGGCGTGTTTATATGTCTTTAGGAGCAGTTATGTGAATTAGAAAACACACGCTTAGAACTTCAGCAATTAACAGAGACCAATCAAAGCCTGCAAAACCAACTTGATGATGTTAAGAAGCAAAAGAAAGGCTGGTAAGAAAAAGTATACAAAACCTCTAGTCTGCTTGCTTGTGATTATTTAAAGAATGAAGGTTTTTTTATAGGAAATTTTAATTCTCTTGCCTATGAGTAGTAGTTGATAAGGTTTAGCAGTTTCCAAAATTATTTTAGTGAGTACTTTCTTGGTAATACTTGGAAATTATTGAAACTTATTTACTGTTAATATGAATTTTAAGTTTAGTTATTATTAATATGCAACAGTATGATGTATTAAGTAGAGGAGCTGGCTTTGGAGTCAGGAACACGTGAGTTCCAGTTCTTCCCCTTTGTATACATGTTGTATGACCGTAGACCAATCACGTAACCTCTCAGTGTGCTGGACGACTTGGGTAGACTCCAAGTTACAGATGAGTCATTCATCTGCCTTTATGAGGAATTTTGAATACCAGAGACTCCTCCACACCAACTGAGTCATGGGTCAAGACTTTCTCTCTCCCCCACCCCCAGTCCTACCCATAAAATTGTTACTGATGGTCTTAATGATTGACTGCCATGCAATTTTGATTTTGGGAAGTATGTAAAATTATACTTTGTAAATTTTTTTTTTCAGTATTTTTTGTCGTTTTCTTTATATAGCGATCAGGAATATCCAGATATTCATCAACTAAAGAAAGAACAAGAAAAGGAAATTGCTGAAGAAAGACTCGCTAAGGTATGTTCCTGGTCTTTTTAAGATAGAGGGGGAAAAAACCCAAATTTCCTTTCTTATTTAGGTAAACATTTTTGTTGTATTCACTGGGTGTTAGATAGTTATTCTTCCTGCATATTAACTACCAAATGCTAACTCTTAAAAAAAAGTCTTTACTAAACTCCACTTTGATTCCACCCATACCTGGTCTCTAATATTAACTGCAAAAATATGGGACAGTAGCAGAGACAGCTAGAATTCACTTCTTGTGGAAAAAGCATAGGGGATCCTAACAGTATGTTACATAGTACAATCCTAACAGCATGATGTAGAATAAAACCCAATCCAGTCTTAAACAGCAGTAACATAGATACATAAAATTACTTCAGTAATAGACAATAGGATCCAGAATGAAGTAGGGCGTTATCCTGCCGTATTCTACTCTGGTATGACCTCACTGGGAATGTTATGTCCACTTATGGAAGCCACATTTCTTAAGGGACAAATAAAAAGTAGAGGACATCCAGAGGAAGACAGCTAGAATATGGACTTGAAGCCATGCTATGCAAGGATCAGTTGAAGGAACTAGAGATGTTCGGCCTGGAGAAGAGGAGCACAAGGAGGGTTGGGTGGAACATGGTAGCAGTCTTCAAAGATTTGAATGATGTCATGTAAAGGAGCTGATTCCTGTCCTAGAGGGCACAGTGGAGAAGAGCAGAAATTAGAGGCAGACCTGTCTCACTGTACTTAGAGATGCCCCCAGATGAAATGGCCTGCCTCTTGGGCAGTGAAGTGATGAGCCCTGAAGGCCTTCAGACAAGGCTGGATGGATGGCTTTTTGGGTTGGTTTTGTTTGTTTGTTTGTTTTGGTTAGACAATGGGGTTAAGTGAACTTGTCCAGGGTCACAGAGCTAGTAAGTGTTATGTATCTGAGGCTGGATTGAACTCAAGTCCTCCTGAATCCAGGGCCAGTGCTCTATCCACTGCACCACCCAGCTGCCCCGGATGGCTTTTTATTGGGAAGGTCATTATTGGCACAACTCAGATTTGTCCAAGAGGTGGACTAGCAGACTTGAAGCCCTTTCCCTTTCCTTCTCTATCATTTTATGGTTACGATTAAAATATCTTCTTTTTCTTGGTACCACTTTCTAGGTGTGATGTACTAGTAATTTCAGACCATTTAAAATTGAGTATTGTCTTGATTATAAACAAGCCACTAAAGTTCATAATGATCACGACAATAAAAGAGGGCTGTTGGACATGTTGCGTGAGATTCTTTTTCAGGTATAGGTTAGACTAGATAGCCGCAGAGAGCCCTTTCAGCTCTACATTCTGTGAGTTCCAGGTTTTTGAAGTAAAAGTGTAGTATTTCTTTTGGAATCATTCACGAATCAAATACTTTTTAAGCACTTAATACATGCAAGGTCCTGTGCTAAGCCCTGAAACTACAAAGAAAAGCAAAACCAGCCCCTTCCTTCAGGAGCTCCTGTTCTCCTGGGGGAGACAAGATGGAAGAAGAAAATGATCATTAAATTACTTGCTATTTTTTTTATCTTCCTGTAGGTAAATAGCATTGTTAACTTTAGTATGCCCTCGGATAGCATGTAACGGAGCAAAGACTATTGGTTTCATTTGCACTACTGGGGACAAGTTAGACTATCTCTTTTAAAAAATTTATTTTAAACAAGTCTTTAGACACTTAACCAAAGTAATGTTTCCATTTTGGTCTTATACAGAATAAAGCAGTGGAAGAAATGCTGAAAATAAAAGCAGAGTGAGTTAAATATTATTTCACGTTTTCAAATTTTAATTCTTCTAAATATTTGCTTATTTTCATTCTCCAATCATAAAGGAGGAGCTATTTGTTAGGTGTTAATAACCTTTGGCACTACTGCAACTTTTTTGTGTAATAAAATCTCAGTTTTTATAACATAAAATGACTTCCTAAATGACTAAAGAGGATTATTGCGTAATTATACATATGTAGTTACATATTTACATTATATATATATTTTATGTAATATTCTTGTACAGTAATACCACAGCGGTATATACCAGTGTGTGTGTGTGTGTGTGTGTTTTTTCTGTTTTTACTAGTCAGACTACAAATTCAATATGCAATTAGTCAAAAACAGAAAAATTGTTGATCAGTGTTAGTTTAAAAAGCTTGAGGAAGTGTTGTATCTTCATTCTAGTCACTTGCTTTTTGTATTCAGAAAAATTGAACTCAAACTGTTGCTAAGGTTGACTTATCAACATTGGTAATAAAGGTGATTTTTTTGATCTAAAGGAATGCTTTTGGTCAGCTATCAAATGCCCTTCTGTAGCCCTAGTGTCTTAACCTCCTTTTCACTCCAGCCCCCTCACCTGTTCCTGAGCCTTCAAATTACATTATGAATTAGGTTACTATTAGAATGGTTTCCTGTAGACCAGAGGTGTCAGACATGCAGCCCACACCAGAACCTGATGAAAATGTAATTGGGGAATATTTAACCAAGTAAAAGAATACACTAAAACATAGAAAATGTTTATATGTGGTTTTCTAATTCAGTATACAGCCCAGAGGGATCCTTGAGTGTGATCTGGTGACTCCCATTTCTGTTTGAGTGTGACACCCCTCCTCTAGACCACCCATGTCCTCGGTGGTGTGTGAATTCTCATTATCTTCAATTACAGTTTCACGGAATTCCAGTTTTTCTGTTTCCTGGTCAGTACTCAGTACTAAGGCTTCTCTGGCTGCTATGGATAAAATAAATTTGGGGGAGGGAGGAAGCCTGAACTTCTTCAGCAAGTGGCCCTAGAATGTCCTTTTGTAGACTAGAATGCACTCACTCTTACTTGGCATTAAGTGATTTACTTCTCTGGGCCTTCATTTCCTAACCTGGACTAGAGGATCTCTAAGGCTGCTTCCTGCTTGGAATCTTGTGGTCTAGAGCATATTAACACAAAATGTATAGAATAACTGTCTGCTGGTCTCCACCTTTCTTAAATGCCAGCAGAGCTATTTATTATTTAACCTGACATGAAAATGAAAAATCCTATGCATCCCATGAGAAAGTCCAGCTCTGTGTTTTATATGGCTTACAGAATTACCGTGAGCAGCAGAGCCTAAAAGAACCATGGACCGGTTTTCTTCTGCCCCCGGACCCATTTTGAATATTGTCTGCCTCATAGAAATTGTCTTTTTTGTATTCAGGGCACTGACAGTGTTGCACCACTTGTAACAGTGGAGGTGGTGGGGTTTTGCTTCTCTATGGTGTTTCTTACTAGACTGACACCACATGGATTTCTGTTGCCAAATAGAAATCCCCTTGTGTCCAGCAAGGGAGAAACCCCAAAATCAGGTAAACAAGTTAATGTGGCCACTAAACATTTTATTTTACAGGTCAGGGATGATTTTTGCTGTTAAAAAAGTACTTGTGCTAATAAAGTCCTCCTTCTCTTGGTGTGGACTGATGGAGTGAGCATTTATGAGGTGCTTACAGTGCACATGAAGGTGATAGTGGATTATTGGAGGATATTCTAGTAGAATATTGTAAGCTCTTGCTTACTCTTCCAAGCCTTAAAAGCTCAGTCAGGTCTTGGCCTGGTCATTAACTCTGATTAAGGACCAGTCCAGCTATGTGTATCAGGGTCAACAGAGCTTTGAACTATCATAATGATATTTTTTCAGCCATGACAGTTCATGAATATATTTTTTTTAAAGTTATGTATAGAGGAGTTACCAATGAGATCCCAGATGCCTGAAGTAAGCAAGGATTTTCCCCATACACTCCTTGTGATTGGCTCAATATAGAGGCCTCTTCGAGGTTGAGACCTTCGAGAGGAACTCACACATGTGGAGACTGTTTAATGTTTCTAACATCACACCTACCCATCAAATTACATTTGTCTTTTTAGATTAAAAGAAGTCAAAGATGTCCTTACAGGCAAAGAGATAGACTGGCTTAAAATGATGGAAGAAGTGGAGAGGACAAGAGCTCTGGAATCGAAAGCCTTCCAGGAGAAGGAGCAGTTGAGATCCAAGCTGGAAGAGCTCTATGAAGAGAAGGACAAAATCGTGCAGGTTTGGGTTTGTTGGCTTCAGTGTCGTCTGGGCACTTGTCTTTGTAGAACTAATCTGCCCAAAAGTCTGTTCATTATGTTCATTTTTCTGTGCTTAGAAATTGCTGCAGCACTTGTACGTGCTCTGCTGTCTTCTCGCAGTGAAATGCGACTCAGAGTACTCTAGAAGCAGAAATGACAGGACAAAAACCACTTCTCATCTTTGCTGCTGTCATTGCAGGAGACTAACATGCTAAGGAAGCAAGTGGAGTTTCTTGCAGAAGAAAATGGAAAATTAGTAGGTCACACAAATCCAAACCAGAAGATTCAGTACCTGGTGAAACTGAAGAAAGACAATGCCCGACTCACTGAAGTAAGTTTGAATGTTGAGATGATTAATACACTGATGTTCGTGTGTTTAAAATTGATCAGAATTCTGTTATTGAACTGACATAGACTAAAAAAATCTCACTTCAAGGCATTTAAAAATATATAAGTCTTATTATTATTATTGCCATACTGTACAAGACATATGCTTCCTGTCTAATGTATTTAGGTATCTTAACTATCAGGCATCTAACTTTAGTTATACTGACAAGTAGTTTGAAAAACTAAAAGTTTTGGTGATTCTAGTTTAATATTTTAAATTTAATGATGCCAGAAACATGTAATTCTATGAAAATTAGAGCTTTATTTTTTTGTTCTTTTCTTTGCAGGAAGCTGAAAAATTACGTGTTGAAAATGTCTTCTTAAAAGAAAGCAGAAAATATGACATTTGTCGAGATTCTGGTCAAGTCCCGTAAAAGTCATCGTGGTTTAGGAGTCTGTTTCCTTTGTCATAAAAAATGGAAGTGGCAGCTCAAAGTCTAATGGAGCATTTTGTCTCCCTGTAATTAACAGCCTTCTGATGCCATTCCAACTCCCACAGCTCCAGGTTCCTGGAAAAGACCTTCCTGCTGCATATGCTGGAGACAGTTGGTTTGTTTGTTTGTTTGTTTGTTTGTTTGTTTGTTGTTTTGTTGTGTTCTGTTCTGTTTTGTTTTGAAAATAAAACATGGCCTGTAACTGTGGTTTACGTGGGGATTCTGGTGCTACCATTGCTTTTCGTTTTTCCTGGAGGCTTCCGATGTGCGGCTTGTAGGAGTCACTCTCAGTGTGCCTCAGTGTTATTGAGCTTTCTTTCTTGCCATTGTTCTTCTCTGCTCTTTTCTATAGTATTTGCCCTATGAATGTTCAAAAGCAGCTTTTCTAATTACTTTTTTTAGCATCATATTTTGTTTTTAGAGACTCCTTTGGTGTTACTGGGCACATTTGCCATGATTGTAAAATTTGACAAGATTTTTAATACTGTATGGTCTGTTGAGCAGAAAATACTTGTTCTAGCACTATGTACTAGCAAAGTATATCTGGTAGAACATAATAAATAAGATATTGGAAATGTTTGTACTTTTCTCAATTATCTGAGAATAAAATAGTTTCAGAGATGGTATCTGACAACAGCTTAGAAAAGGTGGGAAAAGTGCTATTCTCCCCAAAAATCCAGATTTCTGTCATTTAAAAAATAATTTCTTACATATGAATTAGAACCACTTGATTGATACTCTGTTTTAATGCTGAAATAAATTTCCTGAGACAGAATAGCTTTTATTTCTTCTCTTACATTATTCTGTCACCTTTTCTTTTGAATAGAAAATATCTTTGATTTTCTGACTTGTTCCAATTATAGGTCTCATTGTGGCTCATTATATAAAGATGGGTGTGCAGTGTGCACATTCATATAGTTCTGTGGTTGGTATGGTAACTGTGAAACATAATCAGAGATCTGGAGTGATGACCACATTCATCCTGCCACCTCCTGTCTGGAGACAGAGCCTTAAAGAGGTATGGTGCATTGCAGGGGGCTTACGGGGCTCTTTCTTGCCTGGAGCAGACCCTTGGAAATTTCCTAGTTTGACTCCCCTAGGCAGCTGTGTGGGCCTGCATTATGTGTACATTACAAAACCAAGCATGACTTGGTTCCAAAGATTCCAAATTCCAAAGATTTGGTTCCTTAGGATTCACCCTATTTATCCTTAAGCTTTGCTGAATGAAATCTCACAGATCGGGCTTTGTAGCTCTTGCCAGACTCATCAGGGAAGGACGATACGGACCCCAGACTTACCTTCTGGCCCAAAAGTGGAAAGACAGAACATGAGAACAAGTGTATCTATCTTTAGCACCTGAAGAAAAGAATGATGAAATATTTCTTTAAAGGATACCAGTGAATTCCTCATTTGTGTTTGTTTTATGTCTTTTAGTTAATAACTGTTCTGAAATCTCAGGTTAGAATTGAAAATAAAGTTTGTATCAAGGGATTTTGTAAGGATTTCATTGTTATGCTTCTTATTTCTCAAGCACACACAGTTTGCATGGCTGGGAATAATTACAAGATGGATGTAAGCTCAATATTTAGCAAATGGGTCGTCCCTACACAGGTGATTTCACAGGGATCTATGTCATGCCGTCGTCTTGCACCTGAATATCAGCTCCCTTTTGAACGTTCTGAACTAGAAGTCCCCCAAACATCTCAAACTCAGCATATTAAAAAGAGAAATCCTACCCTGCTACCCTGCCACTGGTTTTCCAACCCTCCATTTCTGTCAAGGGCAGCACCCTTTCCTTGATGCCTTCCTGCCACCCAACGTATCCAGTCATTTGCCAATCTTTTCATTTCCTCCTCTTTAGTATCTCTCACATTCCTCCCTTTCTACTCAAATAGCAATCAGCTGATTGGTCTACCTGCGCTAGGTCTCTTCGCTCTTCCTATAGGTCTTCAAAATGATTTTCCTAAAGCAGGCAGCTGGCCATGTCACAGCCCTCTTTGTTCCCTATTGCCTCTAGGATAAAATATAAATTCCTGACATTCGACGATTTTTCATAATCTGGCTTCAACATTTGTGGCCATAATACAAACTACAGTCAGTTCTGCTAAAATAACATAGACATTCCTAAAAGACACTCCACAATAGAAAATGGAGCTTAAAGGAAGAGTGGAGTTAGGGACCATACTCCAATACTTTGTGAATGACACCTAAGAAAAAGAAGGAACCTAATAAATGCAGTAGTGCAGTCTTGGATGTGTCATATGGTTAAGAAATATCTAAATTTTATAACATGTAGGGAGGCTGTCTCAGGCTGCTGTTTGGCCTGCATCCTGGTTCTCAAGGGGGCCTGAGTGGGCAGTGGGTGGGCACAGGAGAGAACAGCCGCAGTAGAGCTGCAACTCTAGGAAGGTCTGCCCGGTCCTATGCCTCCCACAGCTCCACTTCACCAGAAGATACCCAGTAAGTAGGGCGCTGAACCTTGAAAAATACCTAAAGTTTGCTTGTGAAGTGGTATCATAAGGGTTGTAACTTGTATTACTGTGAAGTGGTGGAAGGAAGGCTATCTGTAACCTCAGCTGTGAAAGGGTGTGGCTCATGGTCATTTGGTTTGCCTCTTTTTATATTCCCCGGCACTTAAGTTGTGCTTAATTGAGTATGTGCCTAGCACATAGTAGGTGCTGATATTTATTGACTGCATAAGTAAATTAGAAATTTGAATTATGCTCAAGTTGTGCTCTGATGGGAGATGGTGGAAGTAAGAAGTAAGTCACTCTCACCCTCCCTTACTGACCTGTGAAAGCCCAGAAAATATCATCCCAGGAAAAACCCCGGAACAGCTGAACCAGCAGAAAGGTGGGGTGCAGCAGTCTTGTAGCCCAGGAAGCTTGGGGGATTAACAAGGGAAAGGCCCCTCTAATTCTGGAGGAGAGGGAACAGCACAGAACAGAAGGCATCCCAGCAAGCTAGCGTAAAGCCCCACCTCAGCATACCAAGGGGAGATCCTGAACCCCAGGGTGGTGGAGCAGGCAAGCATACCGGTGCCTCAGTACAGGCAAGGGAACTTTCTAAAATACATAGAAAACTAAGTCAAATTTATAAGAGTACAAGTCATTCCCCAATTATGAAATGGTCAAAGGATATGAACAGGCAGTTCTCAGATGAAGAAATTAAAGCTATCTATAGTCATATGAAAAAATGCTGTAAATCACTACTGATTAGAGAAATGCAAATCAAAACAACTCTGAGGTACCACATCACACCTATCAGAATGGCCAAATGATAAATGTTGGAGAAGATGTGGGAAAATTGGAACACGAATGCATTGTTGGTGGAGTTGTGAAATGATCCAACCATTCTGGAGAGCAATTTGAAACTATGCTCAAAGGACTATAAAAATGTGCATACCCTTGACCTGGCAATAGCACTTCTAGGGCTATATCCCAAAGAGATTACACAAATGGGAAAAGGACCCACATGCACAAAAATATTGATAGCAGCTCTTTCTGTGGGGACCAAGAATTAGAAATTGAGGGACTGCCCATCAATTGGGGAATGGCTGAACAAGTTGTGGTATATGAATGTAATGGAATACTATTGTGCTATAAAAAATGATGAGCAGGTGGACTTCAGAAAAACCTGGAAAGATTTGTATGGACTGATGCTGAGTGAAGTGAACAGAACCAAGAGAATGTTGTACACAGTAACAGTCACTTTGTTTGATGACTAACTTTGATAGACTTAGCTCTTCTCAGCAATGCAAGGATCTAAGACCTCTCTAAAAGTCTTATGATGGAAAATGCTATCCACATCCAGAGAAAGAACTATGGAGTTTGAATGCAGATTGAAGCATACTATTTGCTCTTTTTTTTCTTTCTGTTTTGTTTCTTCTTTCTTGTGGTTCCTCCTATTGGTTCTAATTCTTCTTTGCAACATGACTAATATGAAAATTTTAAAAAACTGTGCTCTGATGTATCACGTGTTTGTCTTTTCCAAACAAGTGTTGTGGCAGAACTGACTTCCTCACACATGATGATGCCTCCATGTCCACCCTTGCCTTCCGATTGGAAATCCTACAGGCCTAGGATATCTTAATGCTTCACCTGCACATCATAGAATCCCTGATTTCCTTCAAGATTTTGTCCAAGCAACACCTGAATGAAGCATTTCCTGATTTTCTGCACCCTTCCGCTGCCAACTGCTGCTACCACCCTTCCCAAAATTATGTTGCACAGAGACAGAAAGATTACGGTTCAAATTCTTCCTCAGACACAGCTTTTTAGCAAGTCTCTTTATGTCCACAAAAGGGGTTAGCAACTTTTCTAAAATGGCAATTGTACATTTATTAATTCATATATGAAGTAATCACCTATGTGCCAATCCAGTATATCAGTAGCTGTACTAGACGGTGGGATCGAGAAAGGCATCAGGGAGAGGTCAGATTGTGAAGGGCATTCAGAACTAAGAGGGAACATCTAGTTTGCGCAGGAGCAATAGGGAGCCCCTGAAGCATTCGCAGGTAAGTGCTCCGACGTGTCTTAGCAATATGGTTTGGGCAGCTAAAGAGGATGAATGAGGAGGAAAATAACTGTCTAGTCGGACTCAGACTCAAAACCAAATAGAAGCCTGCTGGCATAATGACGGAAGTCCTGGGTCCAGCCCTGAGGCTGCCTCGCCTCCTGCATCCCCAGGATGCTCAGAGATGCCAACAGGGGCAGCCCCCGTCGTCCTCCCCACCCAGGCCCAGAGCCGCAGGGGCGGGGCGGGGGAGGGGGCGGGGCGGGGCGGGGAAGGAGGAGGAGCCCCGGGCTCCTAGGAGGGCGAGC